ACTAACACGTCTGTAATCTGGTGAAAATGGCCCTTTTACAACTTTTGAATGTCAGGTCATCAAAGCAGGGTTACAAAATGTATTTCACTGTATTTTAATCTACCGACCTCCCAGTCCAGCTGGCCCTTTTCTCTCTTAATTTGGAGATTTTCTATCATTAATGATCAAACTAGAAAAAGTTTTAATCCTTGGTGATTTTAACTTACACATTAATGATCCTAATTGTAGCACAGCAGTGGAGTTCATGTCTATTATGAAGTCTTTTAACTTAGAGCAGCACGTTTCAGGCCTCACACACAAAATGGGCCACACTCTAGAACAGGCCTATTCAATTACTTTCCCTACTGGGCCAGATTTCAAAATCGTGGATCAGCTTTGGGCCGGATACCCAACTCTTTATTATATATTTTACGGACAATGTTTAAATATTAAATTTTAATATTTTGACTGATGTTACCTCTACCACTAATACAATGACAACAAAAAGCAATGCACAATGTCTTTTATTGCTTTAATGATCTGTATTAATTTACCAGCTGCAGAGCTGGTAATACAAACATTTGTTTTATTAACCTCCAATAACTCAGTCGCAGCTACTAAATAAACATTTAAAATAACCATAGCTTGACCGTTATTCTTGCAACTTTAGTGGGAGAGGTGGCACTTTTTGTTTTGAACAAGAAATGGAATATTTGGCTCATAGGAGCTGAGTGCAATGCGCAGACAGTAGTGCAGAAAGGATTCAGTGAGAGAGGAGCGCAGGTTTGTTTTGATTGCATTCATATGGGAAAAGCTGGATTCACAAATATAGGTGGATCCAAACATACTGAGAACAGTCACAGCTACAATCTTGAGGTTTGGGAACTGATGGGCATTGATCTGACTCCAAAACTTAGCGGGGCCATTTGTGCGCAGCTCTTGTGGCATCGTAAGTGATGACTGCATGCCCACCAACTCCAGCAGGAACTGTCCCTCATTGATAGAAGAGACCACTTTTTTAGCTTTGATGGACAATGTTTCCTCAGCGATGGCAGCAAATGGATCTTTCGTTAATTGCATCGCCTCTGTAGGAAGTGACAGATCATCCAGGCAACTGGTGAAGTTGTCCTTCAGTTTCGCGACTAAACCAGTCATTTCTGCCATGACTTTCGGAGGAGAGGTGGCTTTACGTAGTGTGGGAAAATGTAGCATTCTTTCACCAGTCAAGTCAGTTACGAACATGTTTAGTTTTGCCTGAAAGGCGCTTGTTTGCTCCACAAGCTGGGCTGGGTCATTGCTGGGTCACAGCTAACATAGACATGAATATGTAGAAGCCACAATATGGCAGCTCCAATAGACAGCACCAGTCCATGGGGCGTCTACGTACATATGTCCCTGATTGCTAAAATGGTGTTGTGTTCAAGTGCAATATCAGTGTGGGAATTTAGAAACTTACATGCTTAAACAGTTTTTCAACAGTTTTTTTTTCCGTTGGTGGTTGGGGGATTGGGTGAGGTGGGCCAGCTGGGTAGGGCCCACGGGCCGCCATTTGAATAGGCCTGCTCTAGATCGTGTTTTCTCTTTGGGACTAAAAATCAATCATTTAAATGTTGAAGAGGTTCAGGTGAGTGACCACAGCTGCCTTTTCTTTAATGTCCTATCTAATGTTGAATCTGTCCCTCACAACCTAAAATCAAAGAGACGTGTATCAATAATCAGCAGTGGATGGATTTTCTAGATTATCTGACAGCAGCTCAGTTCAGGGTGATGATCCAAGCTTGTTCATCCAGTCAATGGATAAACAATGCTGCAGTATCTTAGATAAAATAGCTCCTGTTAAGCAGGTTACTTTTTCTAGCAAGAAAAGCATGGCTCTGTACCATCGGTTTTCAGACATGCAGTTATTGATCCTATCCTTAAAAAAACAAGTTTGGACTCATCTCTTATAAATAAAGCTTTGATTGATTGATTGATTGATTGATTGATTGATTGATTGATTGATTGATTGATCTCAGCCTAAAAACTACAGACCCATTTCTAAATCACCCTTTATCTCTAATAATTGGAAAAGGTTGTGGCAGATCAACTGATTACTTTTCTGGAACGACACAACAGTTTTGTTAAATTCCAGTCTGGTATTCGTAAAAAGCATTCAACAGAAACAGCTTTGCTTAAAGTTTCCAGTGACATCATGATGGCTACAGACAACGGGGAGTTCACAGTGTTAGTATTGTTAGATCTTTCTGCTGCTTTTGACACTGTTGATCACCGCACCTTAATTAACAGACTTGGTGACTCAGTGGGGATCTCTGGAACTGTTCTAGACTGGTTTAGATCATACCTTTGTAACAGAAGTTACAGTATCTGTATAAACCAAATTCTACTGATCTGTTCTGTGGGGTACCCCAAGGCTCTGTTTTGGGTCCACTGTTGCTGCTGCTGTACATACACCCTCTTGGACAGATATTGATTATTTTCATAATGTCTCTTATCACCTATATGCAGATGATATTCAGCTGTACTGCTCCTTTAAGGATTCTGAGCTCTACAAACTGAATTACTAGAGTGTCTATCAGCTATCACCAGCTGGCTAGAAGATCCCTTCCTTCAGTTAAACTCTGAAAAGACTGAATGTCTGATCATTGCCCCTGACAGCATGGTTCCCCTGATTAGTCTAAAACTTGGTCATTTATCCTCTGCCGTCAAGACAAACTTAAGAAATTTGGGCGTTATTTTTGACCAATCAATGTCTCTTGAAGGTCACTCAAAAACGTTGGTCCAAAACTGTTTTTATCATTTAAGAAATATCTCCAAACTGCGAAGGTTGGCGTCAAAACATGAGCTTGAAATGGTTATCCATGCCTTTATCTCCTCCCGTCTGGATTACTGTAACACTCTTTTCACATGTTTTAACAAAAAAGCCATTGATCACCTTCAGTTGGTCCAGAACTCTGCAGCGAGAATCCTAACTGGAGCAAACAGAAGAGCACACATCACTCCTATTCTGATGTCTCTCCACTGGTTACCCGTTAACTTTAAAGTTCATTTTAGAATCCCGACTATAACTTTCAATGCTCTACATGGTCAAGCTCCTCCCTATATTACTGAACTGTTAAAGCCTTATGCTCCAACCCGAGCCCTCAGGTCCACACACCAGAACCTTCTAGAGGTTCTAATGACCAGATACAAAAGTCGAGGTGATCGCTCCTTCCAGACTGTTGCACCCCGACTCTGGAATTATCTTCCTTTATCCTTACGTAGCGTTGACAGTCTGGACACTTTTAAAAAACAGCTAAAGACCCTTTTTTAACTAAACCTTTAATTTTCTTATTTTTAACTCAATTTTTTAATCTTTCATCTGTTTATGAAATTGTATAATTTTATGACTTAATTTTTTCTGATGTTAATCTGATTCTGTTTTGAGAGCATTTTGATTTTATGACGTTAATCTATTTATGATTTTATGACTTTGTTTTATTTTGTTTTGATCTATGTGAAGCACTTTGTGATTCTGTCTGTGATAAGTGCTATATAAATACAATTTACTTACTCACTTACCTTTCTTTAAAAATTATTATTCAGGATTCTTTTACATTTTTTTCATCACTGATGAAAAGCTGCTGTTTTGGTCCAGATGTAGCAAAGCAAACCCAAACCATGATACCAACACCACCATGTTTCACAGATGAGGTGTGTGTTTTCATTCTTTTTGAACATATTGTCCAAAAGTACAATAAAATGTTCAAACCTCTTGAAAACTGGTGTGAGAGTTGTTTTTAAGTGGTTTTAGTTCTTTTTCATTTTAATTGGGGTTTTTTCTATCATCTGAATGTACTTTGTTGCAGTTTTCCTGTCTGATTAGCATCATTCACTGCATTCTGAGGTTTTTTATTTGATTTATTTATTTTTTTGCTGTTAATGACGCAACAACTGACTTTCCTAAATATGTAGTGAAGGCAAAGCAACCCCTGTTTTTTGGGGATCACAACCCCCTTTTTTAATGATTATTTCTGATTAGAATCAGTCATTCTGAGTTTTTCATGCAGGCTGAATATGAATGATGATACAATTTTCTGGGTTCCTTATATGGGAAACTTTTTACTGATTGGCTTAATGAACTGAACTGTACTTGGAATGTAGACAATAGATGGTGAAACTCAGGATACGAAAATCCTCACAGATCACGCGGTGAATTACCGTTCATGGACTCGCCCATCTTGACTTACAATGGGAAAGGCTGTTGTTATAGTGTCCAGGAAATAGCAGGGGATGTCTCGACTAGCAGGTTAACTTCTTTGGTGTGTTCTTGCTGTGTTGAAATTCTAATTCCATCTTTTAGCCCTTTTTAAAACACAGAAAGATTTTATTTACCTGCAACGTTTCGTTTGCGGCAGCAAACTTCGTCAGGCTGCAAACGAAACGTTGCCAGTAAATAAAACCTTTCTGTGTTTTAAAAAGAACTAAAAGATGGAATTAGCTGGTTAACTGTTAGCATTAGCAACTTCACCACACGGCAAAACTCCTCCCAACTTGTGTTATTTGGGGAGATAAAACATCAACGTTGCAAGTCAGTGGTAGAGTGCCATGACTGTTATCCAGTCCGAGGTGAGATGTCCACATATCAGGAAATAAGACTACAAAACTTGCCGTCTGAAGCTCAGCTGTGATGTGGCTCCTGGAAATGGTGCACCAGTATATTTTTCCCCCCAAGAACGACTTACAAGGTATTCATTCCTACTAGAGACCTCAGCAAATGTATTGAATAAATGAGTGAACCACACCTTTAAACCAATCCTACTGATTGAAAACATTTTATTCCAATTTTATAATACAGATTTACATTAGTTAGTAGTGGGGATATTTGGGTTTTTTCAGGACCTGTGTGAGATCTGAAAACAAATCTTATATTTATGTGAGAGTAAAACATTTTCACTCAACTTTAAATATGAAATTATTTTAAAGTTTTAAAACTGAATGATTTATTAGTTAGATAATTGCTTTGCTCTCTTTTCAACTCTTAGTTCATCCTAAGAAGAAGAATCGGCAGACGTGTGTCAGAAAAAGCCTGATCTGTGCTTTCGCCATGGCATTCATCATCAGTGTCATGCTCATCGCTGCCAATCAGATGCTGCGAAACGGCATGGAGTGAAAACCAGTTGCACTGTGAGCATGGGAAGTGGACAGAAACAGCCATGACCTCACATTTTGTCTTTGCAGCCAAAGCTGGACCAGCCACAACCCAAGCACTTCTCTAAGCAATCATTTGAGTTTATTATTTTTATTTATTTATTTTTTTACTTATGACATGGACATTGTGGGTGGAATGTGGAGAGATGGGCTTGTTTTGAGAAGAAGATGTCACCATACAGAGTCACCGGACTTGAGATGATCTTATGAAAAACCTTAACTGCAAACGAATAATGGTTTTATATAAAATCGTGACACTGAACAGGAATTGCTTTGCTGTTTAAAAGAGCAAAACCACCCTTTAAACTTCATTTTCTAATTGACGGTGATGCTTATCAGATGCTTTGATCCATTCCGAGCTTTCAAAAACATGTGGTTATGGCAGACAGCATCGTTCTTTCCCTCCAAACGATGACCTGAATGTGGTCTGAGTGAATGTGAACACTAAACATCAGCCAGAGTGTTTAGAAACATAGCAAATTCCTTCTGTTTCATGTACCTGTGTGTCTGTGTCACATTATGTGTGGAGCATTTACATCCTCAGCTCAGTTAGCAAACATTAAAAATCTTTATTTGTCTGAAGGAAGCACAACTTAAAACTCAGCGAGGGACCACTCGAGAGCCATTCCTCTGTCATTCTCTCAATTGATTGGTTGTGTTGCATTTGTGTGATGCGTAAAAGACAGGGCTGTCCACATTCATTATTCGCTCGTGCTGCCAGAGAGGTGTGAACTGTCAGAAGACCAGAGAGGGTTTGATTATCCTCATGAACATGCAAAGAGAGAAAAATGGGGGATTTCTGCTCAGCATCTCATTGCAACACGGCCCAGCTGTGCTAAATGTTAATCACACAAAAGCATGACAGCATACACACTGCCATTAACTCCAGCTCCCCAAGGATTTCACTGTATATATCGTGCTACATAGATTGTGAAACGTGTTACTCCTCTCAGCAGCAGTATGTGTGAAAGAGAATAAAAACAAGAGTTTTATCAGGATAGGTCACAGAGCCGAGGGTTTTCAGGAGTCTTCTTGGAAAATGTGTCCCTCTGGTGGTAAAACTGAAAACTGCAGCTAAAACCTGTGCTCAAGTGAATATTTCCGTTTCTTTTTTTACAAACTACATGTTGCTGCTCAGGACTAGAAAATAAAACACACACCTGCTGCAGAAACTGTGATACTTTCAGAGGGTCTATAAACAGTTCTGTCTTCTTAAATACCTTGAAGTAATTAATGCTTAAAGTTTTGTGGCGCCTGTTTACAGTTAGGCTCCTCTTATAAATAACTAATAAACTGTTTATAAAAATCAATCTGTCCAGCCATGTTCTATACCTGCTTGTCCACGCAGGTGCCCATCTCCAGCAATATCTGTGCAATCAGGCAGAGTACATCCTGGACAGGTTGCCAGTCCGACACAGAGCAGAGACACAGGACAAACAACCAAGCACGCACACAATCACACCTAAGGACAGTCTTTTTTCTTTTGTTTGATTTGGGAGGAAGCCTGAGAGAACCCACGCGTGCACAGGGAGAACATGCAAACTCCATGCAGAAAGACCACAGGCCATGATTCAAACCCAAGACCTTCTTTGTGCAAGGCTGCAGCACTAGTAAACAAATATTATTGGTTTATAAAGTGTTAAAGGCTGCATTAATTAGAGGAGCTTACTGTAAAGTAGTGTTACTAATTATTATTGGTGCACATCTCACTAAGATTAAATCTTAGAATGAGGGTGTCCTTTATTTGAAATGACGTCAGAGTTTATCTCTAAACGAATTATCATGTTTGGGAGCATCACATGGTGAAAAATGAAAATAAATCACTGGATTAATCTTATTAAACAGATGAGCTCTCTGCACCTGATGGTGACTTTTTACTGTAATATTATTTAGATGAGAGACTGATTTAAATAGGTTCACTTGTCATTTTTCTAGTAGACTTTCTTTTTTTAACTGATCTGCAAAGCTGAGACACTGCTGGTCTGCTTTTGTGAGAATATAAAAGGTAAAAGAAGGGAGAGGGCTTTTTATTTTCAAAAACAAGCAAAAACATTAGCTTTGTACGATCAAATACCTTGTATATTGTGAATCAGTGTGCATGTTGTTGTTTAGATATTTACGTCTTTGAAGAAAGACAATCCAATCACTCTTTCTTTACGGTGGCACAGCCTTGGTTTCTGTATGATTATATACCCTATCTATACAGTGACAGCCATTTTTTATAGTTTATACCAGCTATGAATCAAATCAGAGAGCGGAAGAGGGCATTTTCATAAATATGCAAATACAAGGTCACGTCATCATCATCGTCTCTGTTTCTCATCACTGCAGGTCTCACTGTGGACGGATGAACACCAGATACAATGTTAGGTTTAAATTCTCACTTCCTCATAGTCCTGTATATGTGTGTTTGTATAATGTATGATACACTTGTCTTAGAAACTCTCAGCACACCAACGTTTTCTGTTGTCTGCCACTGTGGCGCCTTTTGAAACCAGCATTAATCACTTTGTCTCCAACTATCATGATGCACATTTAAACCCGCATGACTCTTGACTCTTTTTCAAAATTCATCTGCGACGGGACAAGACGGCCAGCTCACGACGTTCATGTTTTTGATGTTTGTTTTTAACCACAACATGTTTTTACCAGTTGTAGATTGTACAGAGATGCAGTAAACACACATATGTAACACAACGTTGGCATGCTGCTTAGAAAAGGAGGAAGAAAAGAGCAATAGTAATCAAATGGATATCTAAAATGCAAAATTTAACCTGTTTAATCAAAAAGAAAATTATTATATATATATATATAAATATATATGTTTATGCAATAAAACCTGGTTTTGATAGAATCTGCATGGTTATTGTTTTTATTCATGAGCGCGTTTGTGTCGTTATGATAATAAATCACATATCAGAAAGGAACAATGAGGTTAGGAAGCTCCTTGATGTTTGTAATGAATCTCACTTAATCATAGTTGACAGATAAATTAAAAAACACATGATCAGAATTCAGTAAACAAAATTCAGCTTTAAGTTATTCAAACAAAATTAAAAATGTAATCATTTATGCAAGTTAATGTCAGCATTAATCTGGGAAAAGGCTTTAAAGGGTATTACAGATGAAGAATGAAGAAATAACTAAATGAATAAAAGAAAAATATTTATTTTCATACACAACCCTAAATATCCAAAAATTAAGCAGGAGTCTGCAAATTTTGCAAACCAAAGAGCATTTTATTTTCCACCAGAATAAAGTTATTTAGAGTAGAAACCCTTACAGGACCTTGTGAAAAATAACTTTTATACATTTTGAGAAAATCTATGGAAAAGGATTAGGGCCACTGGGGAAGGTTTTTTTCCTCAAAATGTCAATTCTGAGATTAACATCAGGATTCTTAATTTTTCTGAGAATAAAATCAGAAACCTTATTTCTCCTAATCTATTATGGGAGATTTGTTTAAATAAAAACTGTTAATATAGATAAATTTTTAAAATTGGCAAAAAATAAATCAAACTGCAAAAAGAATATAGATTTTATGTGATGCTGATATTTGTGGAAGATAAAACACAGTGATTGACACGTTTAGTGTCATGCTGTTGCAGATATTCAACACAATTATTCTTTGAAAAACTGAAATGCTGCTTAAACCAGTAAGTTTTTATATCTAAAGCCTCAAAAATATAATTTTACATTTTTTGCTTAATACAAAGCCTTAAATGGGCAGTGTGTGGTTTCCTGGCACTAGGGGGCAATATTTCAGTTTGACTGTCGCTAGTTTTAAAAAGCTGTAATATAATAGAGGGTAAATTGAATTAAATAAATTGCTTTCGGCTATTTATTATTATTACCACTACTTGGGACCAATAGCGGTGATAATCTAGATTATCCCCTGCTTGGTCTTAAAATGATTAGGCAAAAGATTCTAGGATTCTTTGTTTATTCAGGGATTGTGCACATCGCTTTGATTCAAGAAACAGTCAGGTTTATAAGCAAAATAAAAATTTATTTTACAAACAATTAAGCCTTGAAAAATTGATTAAACTATTATTTACTGTGAGTGGATGTGAACTAAGAGATGGGTGTCTGGAACCTATGTGTGAATATAGTGTCAGAGTCAGAATCACGAGAAAGCTGAGTTCTGGATGGAAAGGATTTGGTTTGTAAATAAGCTATAAAGTTATTATTATCAAAACCGCATACAGATGCCATCTCACTGTGTTCTACGTACCCAAGTGGAGACGCCCTTTGGATCTGAGATGTCAGGAGGGGGTCGGAGGCCCTGGTACCAGAGTCCATAGACTAACTCCTAGTACGACCAGGTCAGTCCAGGATCGTGCTCCAGGTAACAACAGTTGGATGGACCCGAGCATCTGGGAAATCTTAAGGAGTCTAAAGAAATCAGCTTTTCTGCAGGAAAACTATCTTTTTGTTCAGCTTCGCAGGTGCGAAAAAGGTTTAAGGTTTAGACGATGTGTCAAAATCCTTCTGGTTAAAAAGGTGCTCAGATGGCCGGTCTAAAGCTCTCTAGAACCCTCGAACTGTTGACTGTTTGAACTGCTGGAAAACCAGAGTGATCTGGCTTTTAGCAATTGATGTTATCTTGGTCAGCCAACCAAGAGTTGACAAGCCTGAGGATATTATGATTGACTAGCCAACCACAGATTGCCTCAGAAACACATCCTCGTTATGGAGACTCTGTGTCACACCCTGTCCTGTCTCCCCATTCGGTTCAGTCCTGTGTTCATGTTAATTGCTCCCACCTGCCTCTCGTCTCCCAATCACCCAAGGTCCCAGCTCCTCCTGTATTTAAACCCTGTTAGTCCATTTTGTCTGGTTGGTTCATTGTTTCATTGTCCTGCGTGTCTCATTAAAACCCTTTAAATGTTCCTGTCTGCCTGCCTGCCTCCTTCCTCACCCGCGTGTGGATCCTCACCTCCATTTCACTCACCGGCACGCCTGACAGAATGAACCAACCCAGTAAAGGATCCAGCGGGGAGGTTCTTCTTTGGGAGTGTTTGCTCCAGTTTTTAACCGCAGATCACCAGCCGGCTTCTCCTCCTCTGGTCTTGTCTCTCTGCAGACGCCGTCACCGAACCCCGGCTGCGACGATCCCCTCCGCCCTCCCGGAGCTAGATGTGAGGTTGGACCAGGAGACGCAGCTAGAGCGCTCCTGCTACGTGGACACCAGACTGGCGTTGGGAAGGATGCCGGGCTCCACCGTCACCCCTGGTCCCGGGACCGAGCCGCGAGCTCGCTGCAGCTCCGGCTCGGCGCGTCAGCTTGGACCCGCCCCCAGTCAGACCAGCAGTCCCGTCTCCGGTCCAATCAGCGCCTCCGTCATCTGCAGGCGGAGGGACCACGCCTACAGCCCAGCTGACAGAGCTCGCCGGCCTCCAGGTGGAGCTTGGCCGGATCCGTCAGCTCATCAGCCTCCAGGAGTTCCAGCTGGACACCCTATCCTCCCCGAATTACCAGGAGAAGGTTCCAGTTCAGTCTGCAGCTCCCTCATCTCTTGTCCAAAGGATCGAACCCGCAGTCCACCCAGCAGAGCTCGCCGGTCTCCGAGCTGAGCTGGCCCAACTCCATCAGAGCCTCAGTCTCCAGGAGCTCCAGCTGGACAATCTATCCTCCCTGCTCTCCCAGTTTCCGGCACCACCAGTTCAGTCAGCTCCTGTCCCAGCGGTGGTCCCGGAGGTCGCACCGCATCCAGTTCAAACGGTGGTCCCGCAGGTCGCACCGCATCCTGTTCCAGCAGTGGACCCGGTGGGGGCACCACACCCAGTTCCCGTGGTGGTCCCGGAGGTCGCACCGCATCCGGTCCAGCCTGTCCAAGCAGTCCCGTCTGTAGCAACTCCTCCTCCACTCCAGAAGCCGGCGGTCTAGAAGCCGACGGTCCAGAAGCCGATGCCCCCGGACCAGAAGTCGACACCCCCGGACCAGAAGTCGACACCCCCGGACCAGAAGTCGACGGTCCAGAAGCCGACGCCCCTGGACCAGAAGTCGATGGTCCAGAAGCCGACGGTCCAGAAGCCGACGGTCCAGAAGTCGACGGTCCAGAAGCCGACGCTTCTGGACCAGAAGCTGACGCTCCCGGACCAAAAGTCGACGCCTCCGGACCAGAAGTCGATGGAGGTTGACGCCCCCAGTCCTGAAGTCGACGTCCCTTCCAGTCCTGTGGTCGACGCCCTTTCCAGTACTGAGGTCGACACTCTCTCCAGTCCAGAGGTCGACGCTCTCTCCAGTCCAGAGGTCGACGCTCTCTCCAGTCCAGAGGTCGACGCCCTTTCCAGTCCAGAGGTCGACGCTCTCTCCTGTCCAGAGGTCGATGCTCTCTCCAGTCCAGAGGTCGACGCTCTTTCCAGTCCAGAGGTCGACGCTCCCTCGTGTCCAGAGGTCGACGCTCCCTTGTGTCCAGAGGTCGACGCTCCCTCGTGTCCAGAGGTCGATGCTCTCTCCAGTCCAGAGGTCGACGCTCTCTCCAGTCCAGAGATCGACGCTCTCTCCTGTCCAGAGGTCGATGCTCTCTCCAGTCCAGAGGTCGACGCTCTTTCCAGTCCAGAGGTCGACGCTCCCTCGTGTCCAGAGGTCGACGCTCCCTCGTGTCCAGAGGTCGACGCTCCCTCGTGTCCAGAGGTCGACCTCCCTCGTGTCCAGAGGTCGACACTCCCTCGTGTCCAGAGGTCGATGCTCCCTCATGTCCAGAGGTCGACGCTCTTTCCAGTCCAGAGGTCGACGCTCTTTCCAGTCCAGAGGTCGAGGCTCCGTCGTGTCCAGCGGTCGACGCTCCTTCGTGTCCAAAGGTTGACGCTACTTCGTGACCAGAGGTCGACGCTCCTTCGTGTCCAGAGGTCGACGCTCCTTCGTGTCCAGAGGTCGACGCTCCCTCATGTCCAGAGGTCGACGCTCCCTCGTGTCCAGAGGTTGATGCTCCCTCGTGTCCAGAGGTCGACGTTAACTCGTGCCCAGAGGTCGACGCTCCTTCGTGTCCAGAGGTCGGCGCTCCCTCCAGTCCAGAGGTCGGCGTTCCCTCCAGTCCAGAGGTCGACGTTCCCTCCAGTCCAGAGGTCGACGTTTCCTCCAGTCCAGAGGTCGGCATTCCCTCCAGTCCAGAGGTTGACGTCCCCTCCAGTCCAGAGGTCAACGTCCCCTCCAGTCCAATGTCTCCGCCGTCTCCAGTCCAGAAGTCAAAGATGTGTCCTCCAGCGTCTCTGCCTCCGGTCACCGCCAGTCCTGCCCTCACCAGGCGCGGGCCCCCAAGAGCCCGTCGTCGCCTCCTCCTCTGCCACAGACGCAGGCCTCCAAGAGCCCGTCGTCGCCGCCTCCTCTACCACAGACGCAGGCCCCCAAGAGCCTGTCGTCGCCGCCTCCTCTGCCACAGACGCAGGCCCCCAAGAGCCCGTCGTTGCCGCCTCCTCTGCCCCAGGTGCAGGCCCCCAAGAGCCCGTCGTCACCACCTCCTCTGCCACAGACGCAGGCCTCCAAGAGCCCGTCGTTGCCTCCTCCTCTGCCACAGATGTAGGCCCCCAAGAGCCCGTCGTCGCCTCCTCTGCCCCAGGCGCAGGCCCCCGGACTCTACTGGTCCCTGCCTCCTCTCCGTCGGTCCCTCAGTCCCTCTTGGCCCTCCCTCCTGGTCCCCCTCCTCCCGCCCTGCTCTATGTTCCTGCTGGGGTCTGGGATATGCCCTTTTAGGGGGGGGGGGGGGGGTACTGTCACACCCTGTCCTGTCTCCCCATTCGGTTCAGTCCTGTGTTCATGTTAATTGCTCCCACCAGTCTCTCTCTCGTCTCCCAATCACCCAAGGTCCCAGCTCCTCCTGTATTTAAACCCTGTTTGTCCATTTTGTCTGGTTGGTTCATTGTTTCTATGTCCTGCGTGCTTGATATTAAAACTATTGTAAAACCGTTCCTACCTGTATGCCTGCCTTCCTCACCCGCGTGTGGATCCTCACCTCATCTCCGCTTTGCTCACCGGCACGTTTGTGACACTCTGAATGTGGGCAAAAGGTTACTTATGTGTCATGCATTAACTTTACTCTGAGTGCAAATGTTATGATCTCGTCAAGTAAACATACTAAAACAATCACTGAGCACAGATTAATGAACATTTCATTATTTACAATTACTATCAGTAGCAATAACAAAAGTTCATTCAATGATTCTTTTTTAATTATAAAATATTCTTTTCTTCTTCATGTGGGAATAATGGAGTTTATTTGAGAGAGTTCCTGTGATGGACCTTGGAGGATAAAATTGGTATTGTTTATTTCTTCATTATCTCTGCAGTCCAGCTGGTGTGAGGAAGTAGGCTCTGATTAAAGGGCTTACGTGTAGACTATCAGACTCCTGTCAGAGGAAAATATACGTAGGATGTTTGATAGCCAGGGTAAGTTGACCTGGCTGTGCACATGACCTGTGGGATCTCAAAATCAGGCCATTTCGTGATGTTACAAAGCATTACGGTAAATGTTGTTACCTGTGGAGCAGAAAGCGTGCAACCTCAGCGTGACTCCTCGGGCTTTGGTGGTCCTTCAGTTAGTTCCATTGAAAGTGTGCAATGTCAATGCTAGTTTTTTGGCGCTGTAGTTTCCGGATCTGCTCGGGGTCCTACACCTGCCGATGACATCATCATACTACGGCAATACCGCTCGGCCAAAATATATTGCATCTCTTTTTCGATTCTGTTCTTTCACGTAGGTTTTGGAAAGAGTTTCGCAGTTTTGTTGTGCATGGTGGTTCATGTTTCTTCCTAACTAAATATTTTCGAACGTGCTAACATAACTTCCATTAAGTCGTATATCCAGCCAGTCATCTAGTGTGATGTCATCAACAGGCACAGGACACTGAGCCGGCCAGAAGGAAACATGGCAACTAATTTGCCATCCCCCAAAGTTGCTAGACCCGCACCCTATGTACTTCAGACCCAATTTTTATGGTAATACGTTACGAAGCCGTAGGGCTGGGCAATATGGCCTAAAATCAACATCACGATACACTGAGGATTTCACCTCGATAACGATAAATGGACGATAACTACAGGTATGTGTAGAAACAAAAGTTGTCCACTAGATGGGGCTGTCACATGTATTACATCGAGTTACATTGGCTGTGTTCCAGATGAGCCAGGTTTGCACAGATTAGATCACCGGTGATTGGTGCACAGTGCATGCCGGTTAGATTTGTGTCTGACTTGACGCCGACTTGCTCTGACATCATGTATACACAACGATATAGTGAGATCAAGGTGGCCACAGATTTCGGAGCAAGGCACTGCAGTTGCTCTCCACCGGCTGCAAAACCTAGGGTATGACAGGAAACGCCTGGCTCTCACGTGATCTAAGATCTGATTGGTTCATATTATGATCCATGGACGTAATTTTTTGGGGGGGACAGGGGGGACATGTCCCCCCCACTTTTTCCAAAGTCAAGTTTTGACCCCTGCACTTTTTACCATCCAAAAACAATAGTATGCTATATTAAATTGACACTGGTTGAGCTCTAGGACCAAGCGGAAAACAACCGTTTGTGTTGATGCCTGTTTCCCATTAGAACATACTGTAAAGATACCCCCCCCCCCCGTGTCCCCCCCACTTTTAAACTGAAAATTACGTCCATGTTATGATCCAAACATCTGATGATAGAACATGAAATGTTAGTTGGTAACATGTATTCTGTAAATCATGTTATGTTGATGATGACAACTATACAGGCCATAAAGAGAAATGTGTTTTGTTTTCTTTTGCCACGTTTCCTATGAGCAAATTAAATCTACCGCTGATAACCTTTACTTATTATTACAGTCATGTCTCCATATGCATTATATTATATCCACAAGCACGTGAGGATGTGTTTCGGTTGCTAACAGGCACCAGAATTAAAATAAAAAATTAAACGAGTATGAACGCTAACGCGATATCTTCATCCATCGTCACCCGCGAGCTACACATGTGACTCAAGGTGGTACAGCTTCTTAAAGGGACATGAACATTGCCAACCTACACATCTTTTCATTTTTTCATTATTAAGTTGACATGGGAAAAATTATCTCGATGCGAGTCAGAAATTTCAATAACGAAACATTTTCGAGTTATTGAGTCCTACAAAGCCGCAAATATTTTTCTACAACTGGACAACATTTTATTAATTTTCAATAACATTTCAATGGATATTTCCAGAGATTAAATATAAAAATGCACATTGTCACTTTAAGAATCGTTGTGGAGGATTCAGAAAGCCTCTTGTGGCTCCAGAGCCACAGCTGCAGACCTCTGCCTCAGCCAGTAGAAGGTGCGCACATGGGCATCCAAAATAACTTAACCTAACTCTTAAAAAGGAAATGTGACTTAAATCTCCAACAAAAACTGTAGAAACCTAAAAACTCACACTAAAACCCACAAGAACCTTTTACAACACATAGTGACTCCTTTTTTAAATTACCTAACGATTTTGCACACAGGGGCTGTTTATCTCATGTTTACTTTTCAGTCTGTTTCCTGTCTCTGTGTTGTAAAAAAAATGCAGCTACTGACTCCACTAAAAAGGCAAGAAAATCTAATTTTCTAAATAGACTTCATCACGCTGCCTCCACGGTTTTTACTCCTTAAATCTATTTGGAGATAAAACCAAAGAGGATTTCTGCCAAGTCCGATTTCTGATTCTACCAAATTTCTTCCAATAAAGTACTTTTTCCTTATTTGTATCACCAAGTACTTCCTCAAGATTAAGTCTTTCTCATAACACACATGAACTAATCTACAGAAGCATCTGAAAGTCTCCACAGGTGAACGAGTGTAGCAAACACACATAAAACACTCGTCTACTCCTGCAGTGCTCAGAATTAATCGTTACAGGTCAAATACGAGTTAGAGTAGCCTCATCACATTGAAACCCCATTAACTCAGATAATGAACCAAGAGACGTCATTAAATGGGCAAACAAGGCATTAGGCAAGACCAATGGTCCAAAAAGACATTAACTACTTGCCTTATTTGCAAGTCCTTCATTAATTATCAGATTCATGTGGCAATTTCTAACTGCTCGACTGTTTTTATTTGAGGCTTGTTTATTTCATGCTGTATAAATGCAGCTAACTTATTTCTCAAGGATTAGCTCAAAGTGCTTTGGTCCTATGCTGGTTGTTAATAAAGTTGGACTTAAATGGATTGACATCAAATAAAAAAGTCACAGTGGTGTTTATGCATGAAAACACTCTTTAATGTGAGGAGTTTTATGCTTGTGTGAAACTTTGGAGCACATTTGCTCTCACAAAACAATTTGAGTGTAAAACTCTGCACAGACTAAACAATAAACCACCAAACACAGTTAATAAACGGCATCCAGTTAGGGGATCCTCTAATTCACAGACACAACACTGCTGCTTGTTCTTTTATGGAAATCAGTGCAGAATAACTTAGATGCAACATGGAAACAAAGAAAATATAATTTTAATACTGCTGAACTCTTTGTTTAATATGGCTTAAAAATATAATTTTAAAAAGAGCAAAATGATAGTAAAAAACCCTGTTTACAAAAGCTTAGTGATGTAAACACCCATAACTTTTTACAGGTTTTTATAGGCACAGGTGTAACAGGATATCTTAGACAGAATTCACTTGGTGAGTGTGTTTATCTGCTTTCTGATCTGTGGTAAAGAACCCGGTTTACTTGTTTTTTTAGTGCCACAGACCTAAATAAAGAGGATTTTAATACAATCTCAGAGCAGTTGCTGCATCTTTGATGATACATCTCCTGTGAATATAAAGATGAGACATTTTTAGGGGAAAGAAGGTGCTGGTTCAGATTTTATGGTGGATATGGACAGACCGGACAACAGACCGACGCAAAAACAGAAAGGTGAAGTTCAGAACTCCGTGTGGGCGTGGCCGTAGTCTCGGCTGCCTGCCGGGCTCTCACTGGGCTTAATGAAAATGCCCTCCATGGCTTTCCACAGGCTGTGCTGACTGGCACTCTGCATGGCATGAACCTCCGTCTGACCGTGGATCGGCCGTCCGTACTGCTCCCCCGTCACAGACAGGAGCATGTCGGTGGCTTTGTGACGGAAGCGAACGGCCTCCTCGCGCCTCCACACAGATCCTCCACACTCAACCGTCCACTCGTCCAGGTGGTCTCCTTCTCCTTCCTCACCGAACGCGCTCACCTCCTGCAGACACAAAGAGAAAGAACTAATTGTTTAAGATGACACGGTCTCATGCGACCCAAGTGTACACGAGTTTCAAAATCTCCAAAGGGATGAAAAATCCTCATGACACCAAAATCGGTTCTTTCATCATCTACCTCCTCATACACCCACCTGGTTAGAAGACAACGGAGAGGCAAAGTAATGGCTGTGTAGATTGCGGCCGGTGTTGACATGAGTGAGGCGAATCGTCTGTCCGCACGTCACTGGTGACCCCCGATGACACAAACTGTCTCTGGTCCCACGGATGCTCCAGTAACTGTTACTGTCCTCCACCACAGAGACACCTGTTACAGACTGCTGGCCGCTACCTGTCACACACACACACACACACACACACACACACACACACACACACACACACACACACACACACACACACACACACACACACACACACGCACACACACGCACACACACGATGAACGATGTTATTGGGCCGAAAAAGTAAATTTGATTGATAAATGAAAAGTGACATTTTCTGAGTTATTTAACATTAAATGGAAACTACTCTAATAGTAATAGCATCTTATTATAATATTTACATTTACACTTTTTAGCAGTAAAATAAAGTAAGGCGGATGGTCCTGAAGTATTTTTTTTTTACTAGAGAAATTCACAAATGATTGAAAGGCTGGAAGTCAGGTGAAATGTACTGAAATTAATCGTCAGTACAGAAAACTTGCAGTGAACATCTTAGACCGTTTTTTACAATTAATTTAAAAGGTTAAAGGTTAAAGATTAATGGTTAAAGACACGCATCTTAGACCGTTTTTTACAATTAATTTAAAAGGTTAAAGGTTAAAGATTAATGGTTAAAGACACGCTCAATTAATTCCTGATTCATATTAAATAAGTAACAGTCAAACCAGATCAGCCTGAATCTACGACGACCTGACCGACAGTGTCAGACTGACATTTACCGTTGCATCTACAATAGACAACCCGATCTTTTGTAGCTACAAACACCAGCTAACGTGACCGTGAGGAAGCTGTACCTTGCAAACATCATATTTTGAAGTGAAATGTCAAACGAACCATAACTCACCGGATCCGTAGCGAACATCGTGAGAGTGCAGTCTTACGTTGTGCCTTGTGTTCAATAGTTTAATGACTGAACCGCATGTTACAAAGCTCAGTTCCGTCCCAGCAGAAAGCCCAAATATACAGAATAAAATTAGTAAAAACGCTGGTAGAAAATGGTCAAAAATATCTAAGTTTAAGTTAGCCATTCCGACTACAACTCTAACTCCAATGCCACTGACAATACCTCCCTAGGCTTTGTATCAGTTTTCGCTACGTCAGTAGTAACGTACCAATGTAATGACATTGAAACAGCGCCCCGTGTGGATTGGAGAGGTAACGTCGTTCTGACATTTGTTTATCTTTGGCTTAGAAGATGATTTCCCTGTTGTTGGAGGAAAAGTAGTAAAATTAAAAGAGAAATTATAGTTCACTGCACATCTCCTTTCAAATCATTATTTTGTATGATTTATTTATGTATTTTGAAATTACAGGCATAATTGGTCATTTGTTTATATTCACTGATGAGTCCCATTTTAGCATTATATCATTCTGAGACTTCTGAGCACCTCATCAATCAATCAATCAATCAATCAATCAGTCAATCAGCCTATCTATCTACCTATCTATCTTTCTATCTATCTCTCTATCTATCTATCTCTCTATCTATCTATCTATCTATCTATCTATCTATCTATCTATCTATCTATCTATCTATCTATCTATCTATCTATCTATCTATCTATCATCTATCTATCTATCTATCTATCTATCTATCATCTATCTATCTATCTATCTATCTATCTATCTATCTATCTATCTATCTATCTATCTATCTATCTATCTATCTATCATCTATCTATCTATCTATCTATCTATCTATCTATCTATCTATCTATCAATCTATCTATCTATCATCTATCTATCTCATCTATCTATCTATCTATCTATCTATCTATCTATCTATCTATCTATCTATCTATCTATCTATCTATCTATCTATCTATCTATCTATCTACTCTATCTATCTAAACAACTCTTTTTAAAATCTAAACCTCAGAAGGTGGCTTTGTTTATTGTATTTTATTGTACTTTATTTTCAGTGTTGGGAGTAACGCGGTACAAAAGTAATTAACTATACTGTAATGCATTGCTTTTTGCTGTAAGGCATTACAGGGAAAGAAAATGGTACTATTTACTCGGTACAATTGTCAGTAACGCGGTAATTACAATGCATTTTTAAACCCAGAATCAAGATGTGGGCTTCCTAAAAATTCAAATTGCGGGAAGCCTGAAAAAAAATCCAGTATCTACATATATTACGTCATTTATGGACTCAGCTTTGCGGGCATTCTATGAGCAGAGAGGACGCAGCGGTAATGGCTCAACCAGCTGCGTCCTGCGCGCGGCCGCTGTTATATTCACAAAACCGCTCCACCAAAACAAAGTAATTCGTTTGCGATCCTTTATATCAGCCCATATTCTCTGGTACTTCATGTAATTTTCAGCTGAGTTCATAATCTGTGCCCCGGTGATTTCAACTCATTGCTGCTGGAGCGCAGCGCATATGAAGCTTTTTTATTTATATTTATTTATTTATTTATTTATTTATTTATTTATTTATTTATTTATTTATTTATTTATTTATTTATTTATTCATTTATTTGCGTTTGGTAGATCCCTTTGGCTGATTAGTTAGAAAGTAGGAAATCTAGGAAACAGTTTTTCTGGAAGACAGAGAAAACATGCAACATGCAGGAAGGTTAGAGAGAGAAAGGGCAGGAAGTTATTCACATAAAATCAAGAAAACAAAACAATGTGCTTGAAAAGGAAAAAAGTAGGTAGATTTATCCCCAATACACATTTTTACCAGTGAAAAGCAATAATATACATAAGCATTTTAATATTTATACTAGTGATAGAATCGAATCACCCCAGAAGTCAGTCCCACATCCAGGGCCGTATCAAGGCATTTGGGGACCAAGGCAAATAGCTTGGAGCCCCCACCACCTTACTCCCTGCTCAGTTAATATAAGATGGCAGCGTGCTGAGATTGTTGCTTTCATTTAATAAACAATCATTTTAAAGCACTGTTATTATATCTGACTGTTTTTAACAGCAATCCTAGCTCAAACACCACATCACTTTCCACATATATGTCATGAGCTCACTGAGCGTCAGATTACCAGATTCATATTGAAGTTGTTTTGGTGAAAGTTACTTCAAGTAATGCAAAAGTAGTGTAATGCCTAAAAGTAGTGTAATGCCTTACATTTTTAAATCAGTAATATTGTAATGTAATTAATTACTTTAAAATGAGGGTAACAAGTAATAAATAATGCATTACAGTTTTGAAGTAACTTGCCCAACACTGTTTATTTTGATCACATTACCGTATTTTCCTTTATTTAGATCACATTCTGCCATACACCAAACATTCCACTAGGTGGTGGAAACGGACCCCACAGCGTTTTCAACTCACGAGGAAGAATTAGAATTTCCACACTGGTCTTCTCGGCCATCTTTTTGTAGTGCAAGCTCAAAAATACAAAACACAACACAAATATTTGACATTTATAAGTATATTTGGATTATACAACTGCACGGAGACGTGTAAGTTTGAATTTACCGTGGTAATTTTGGAGGGTTGAGTTACACGTTGTGCTTTTCGTTAGGTTTAGCTGCTTGTTGTTCTTACTAACGCACAGCTTAAGCCTACCAAGCTAATATAAGTGTTAGGTTAAGAGGCCTCGGTTTATTTTCGCTAACTGCTGGCGTGGTAAAGCCATACTTTCATTGTTATCTGTAAATTTTGTTTACAGACATTTTAATATCAATAACATAAAATAGATTAAATGTTTAGTTGTCGGTACGTTTATCAGCTAGCTTGCTTACATTGCTAGCGTAGTTAGCATCCTTAACGGTTATGGCACACAAAAGGTGTTACTCTAGTCATAGTTTCTTTCGAAATCTGCAGTTATATTGACATCGGCTAACGGCGATCATTAACGTAAACCACGTCTGTAACTTTTATGTTTAGCTACTTAGCTGTTCTTGACATTATTCAATGCTGTAAGTACGCATTGCGACACAAGATTGCTGTGTCTGTGGTTACGCACTTACTTTGGAGATAGGAAAATTCCAACGTATTGTCCACAAACACGGATTTATAGTATTACTGATAGTTACTTGTGAGGAAAAAACTGAATTGTTACAAATTACATTATAAAACATGTGCTACGTTTTACTTGAAGATAATCAGGTAAATAATGTACAACAGCTGATGTGGTTTATCAGATGGTCTTAGTGTAACAAACAGTTTAGGTCTAATACAATAATAATTTATTTGAATGATAAAAGTGTAGGCTTAATATGTATGTGTAGTATCTAATAGGTTTTTGAGAAGTTAAAGCTAACTCAGGTGCTTCTCTGTGCAAACATTTCTAACCATGATTTGAGTTTTTGTTTCTTTCTGTAAATACATTTATGATAAATTAGAGAAAACTTAACTTTGTAATTTTATCAACAAATTATTCTAACCAATTCTTATTTCTTATTCAATTTCCAAGGAGCAGCTGTCATGTCAGATTTTATTGACAGTGAAGCTGAGGAGTCGGAGGAGGAGTTCGAAGAGAAGGACCTTAAGCCCAAGAAGACTCAGAGGTTCCTAGAGGAAGATGGTAAAATCAGAGTTTTTTTTTTATCAGTGTGATTGACCTTTGGTGTTAGATGGCATGTTGAATGCTGCCACTTTACAACAGATGAAGAAGAAGATGTGGATAATCCAGAGGAGCAGGATGAGCATGGAAATTTACGTGGACTGATTGACGATGGAGATGATGATGCAGAAGAAGAGGAAGCAGAAAAAAGTGCAAGTCCAGCTGGAAGTGATTCAGAAGAGGAAGTCAGGCATCGGCGTAAAAAGCGCAGTAAGTTAGGAGTTATCAGATATCCAGTTTTAGAATTTGATGGCTTAAAACATACAATATCCTCCGAACTTTCTGTTCTAACACACTTTTTTATTTTAGCTAACGCTTAGGATTACCTATTTCTGTCGAATTAATGAGAAGAGTTACGTGTGATTACAAATCATTAGTGTAAAATAGGGCTGCACAGTATTAGGAAAACGTGCAATATTCGATAACAATGATTAATATTGCGAGGACGATATTACTTGTGATAAATAAAAACTTAACTCAGGAACAAAAATAAAAAAAAATCATAAAAATGAGAAAAGCTAAAGATGTGAGGAAAGGGAAAATGAGCAAGAAAAGGCAATAAGTGGATCCCGAGAAAAGCAGAATCAGCAATAAGAGTAGAACAAAGCTAACTCAGGTGTTTGCTAACCATCAAAATTAAGTGCCGTCCACCTCGGCGGCGGATATCTAGGCTATGAGGACCCACCCATTTGGCCAAATGGGTGAAGAGCTCTATTTGATTTGTTAAAAAAATATAAGGCTTTCGTTTGACAGAATGCATTATGTTTAGCAAGCATTTGAGCTGACCATTTATTGCTATATTTATCTGTTTTTTGCAATATGCATCTTGTGCATGCTGATATCTCGATAACGATATATTTACGATATATTGTGCCGCCCTATTGTAAAACATAGCAAAATAAATGCAATCTACCAGAAAAGCCATAACTTTTTTTAATTCAGAGAAAATTATCTTTTCTTATTGGTTGGATGGTTTCTGCAAGAATAACAGCAGCCTTGAATCTAGACTGCATATAAAATTGCTCTTCTTATCTGATATTTCTACTGGAATTTTATTTCATTCATAAAAACAGAAATAACATATTCTTTATAAAGGTTGTTAATCTTTGTTCTGCCTTTTTTATGGCTGATTTTATTTTTTTAAATGGTCTGAAATAACAAGTAGGCTGTTGTGGATGACTAGCCTGGCCTGCCAGACTCGTCTTCTGTTAAATTCTGCACAGAGAAAGAGTCTGGTAACTCAAGGCAGAGAGGCTCTTGAGGGGCGGGACTAGGCAGCTCAAAAAGAGCTAATCAGAAAAGACTGAAATGCCGACTGTACCACGCAATGCTGTAGTTTTTTAGCTGGCGACAGTGCAAACATCTTTTTTTAGAAGAAAGGCTTTTAGCGCTTCTACTTGTTTTAAAGACGTGTCCAAGTCATTGAGAACAGAGGAAAGAGCTGTAGCGAACTCCGCTTCAATCGCCATGTTTGACAAACTCAGCGTTGTGGTGTGTGACGTACGCTGCTCAGCGCTGATTGGCTTGGTTAGAATTCTCACAGGGTGGGGTTATTGGAATAGGAGAGTTCCCAGACCCTTTCTCTGTGCAGAATTAAACAGAGGAGTCTGGCAGGCCAGGTTAGTGGATTACAGCCTCAATATTTAATTTCAGTAAATAGCAGGTTCATATTTTGATATTTTCTGGCCCAACCATCTCAGGCCCTACTGCTTCATTTTCCTCTTTTTCCCCTCTCACTGAGAAATGTGTGTCCAAGCTTCTCACGTGCAGCCGCCCTACTACATGCCCACTCGTCCCCATTCCGACTAAGCTGCTCCAAGCTATTGCTCCTACTATTGCTCCTACAGTAGCCGCAGCAGTCACACATGTGATCAACGCTTCACTGACATCCAGTACATTTCCCACCTCTCTCAAGCATGCTCAGGTTAAACCGCTTCTAAAAAACCCATCTCTTCCTCCAAATCATGTGGAGAGCTACCAAACTATCTCTCTCCTCCCTTTTCTGTCCAAAATCACTGAAAATGTGGCTTTCAAGCAGATCACAGAATACCTCTCACAAAACTGTCTGACCCTTACCAGTCTGGGTTCAAAAAGGTCCACTCCACTGAAACTGCTCTGTTAGCAGTGACAGAATCTTTAAAAGAAGCTAGAGCGACTGCCAAATTCTCAGTACTTATCCTGCTCGACTTATCGGCAGCAGTTGACACTGTCAACCATGGCTTCCTTTTGTCCACACTCTCTAGCATGGGCATCACAGAGAAAGCACATGCCTGGTTTGAATCGTACCTCACAGGACGATCATTCAGTGTATTTTGGCTTGGACAATCCTCTACCGTGCACCATCTTGCCTCAGGAGTCCCCCAGGGCTCTTTACTAGGACCTCTTCTCTTTGCCATATACACCACCTCACTGGGTGAGATCATTCGATCACATGGCTTCTTCTACCACTGCTATGCAGATGACACCCAGCTCCATCTGTCATTTCCACCGGACGACCACACTGTCTGCACGAATATCAAACTGTCTCTCTGACATATCAAAATGGATAAAATCCCACCATCTCCAATTCAACCTCTCTAAAACTGAACTACTTGTCATCCCAGCAAAACCATCCATACAGCACAATATCTCAATCCAAAATGACTTCCTATCTCTGGCTCATTCAAAGGCAGTTCGAAATCTGGGTGTTGTGATTGATGAACACCTGAGCTTTAAAGATCATGCTGCCTCTGTTGCTCGTTCATGCCGCTTTGCGCCGTATAGGGCTGCAACAACGAATCGATAAATTCGATGAAAATCGATTACTAAAAGCGTTGGCAACGAATTGCGTCATCGATTCGTTGTGTCGCACAACTCTTCCAAAAGCGCCCCCCCTTCCCGCCCGCCGTTGCGCGCAGACAGATCAGCGCGAGGGAGAGCCGGCAGTTGTTTGGAAGAGGAACATGGCAGAAGCAGCGAGAGTCAAAAAAGTAAAAGCTTTTTAAGTTTGGGAGCGTTTTCAGTTAAATCAGGCGAAGATGTTACCTGCAACGTTTAGGTCAGACTTAGCATGGCACGGGATGATGCAGCGTCTTAAACGCAAGCATGTCGGGATCATCAGCGAGGAAGGAGAGAACTCTGTGTCTGGGTAAATTAAAAACTTTTCAAAAGTGATTCATCCAAGTCCCGGATTATTACACAGGCTAGACATGCCCTAAGCTCGTAAAAAAAGAGTCTAAAGTCGTGAGCGCGACGCTTATTAGATGAGCGGGGGGGGGGGGGGGGGGGGGGGGGACTCGCGCTGCTGCGAACCGGTTCCGCCCAAGGCCGGATTAACTGGGCAATTGCCCAGGGCCCACGAACTCTAAAGGGCCCAGGGCACGAGCAAAATACTGTATCTATAATTTCCCGCTTTATGAGGATGGTGACCGTACGTTCCGTTTTCCCCGGACGTGTCCACTTTTCACTCTCTGTCCGGCGCGTCCGGACTGCGGGTTCTTGTATTGATGAAAATGTCCGGCTTTTCATCCAGGAGCAGGGATCGAATTATGGGGTAACTGTATATCCTACACATCATGGGAGCCGGAAAAAAGTTTTCTATATTATATCATTTTTGGACTCTTTTGAGCAGAGAGCGGCACAGCGCATTGTTGTGCAGCTCTCCAGGCTGCTGCGTCCAGCGCACGGTCCATTCTCAAAGTGGCGCAACCAAAAAACTATAATTAGCACACGATCGTTCATGTCTGCACATGTTCTCTATTTTCTGTCTTATTTGTGCCTGCAGCGCTCTGCTACTGCGGAGCTCATCACCTGTGCTGCGGTGATTTCACCTGACGCAGCATCGAAAACGCGCTCTGCGCTTTGCGGTCAGGAGATCCCTTTGATCTGCTCAGAAGTAACTGATGAAGTGAAAAAGTAAGAATCCAGGCAGCAGTTTTTCTGGAGAGTTTAGAGGAGATGCATGAAGATGAGAGACAGACAGGACAGGAAAATAGTTAAATAAAAACAACAAAACAAAACTAAGTGTTGAAAAGTAAAATGTAGGTAGATTTATCTCCACTACACGTTTTTACCTATAAAACAATAAGTTACACACATGTAATATTTATAAATTTGATACTATTCAGGTCACCTTCAACACTCAGTCACACACCCAGGGCCGTTTCAAGACATTTTGGGGGCCAAGGCAAAATGCCCCCCCCCCCCCCCCCCCCGTAACTGGGCTCCCCAGAAGCCTCTGTGTAATTCATACCCTCTCCAGTAGTGTTAGTTATACAGTGTTTATAAAAGCCCCTCAGGCATTACTGACATGTTCTAATATTATCAGATGAAAAACTAAATTATCAGACATGCTGTCTCATCTGCTGCTTTTCTAAACTTGCAGAAAGTAACAAGACCATTTGAAAGCCACTATTTGTGGATTCTCTGAAAGTTTCCATGGAGTGTGTGACAACTTATTTTTTCAGTCATTTTTGGAAATAGTGATCAATTTTGATTAATTCACAGCCTATGTTTAATTACATTTAAAAATTAGTTGTTTGACATCCCCAGTTATAATAAATGTCTACAGATGAGATCAAACAAAACAGATGAGAATTGCCCTTAAGCTGTTTAATTGGACCAAGCATTTTAGGTCACAGTTAGGTGTAGCTTAGGGTCTCTGTCTATACACCTTATAAGACAATTTAGGTGATGGCATGTTGTTTTTCTGCTTTTGAACTGCTTTCTAATAATGTTGTGTTAAATAAAGTGAAGGAAGGAGAGAAATAACGTTTCCCTAGCAGTTTTTAAAAATTTCCCCACGTAATCCGATTAATCGATTAATCGTGTCGAGACCCCATCCGATTCATCGATTATCCAAATAATCGTTTGTTGCAGCCCTAGCGCCGTATAACATACGAAAGATCACACCATACCTTACACAACATGCCACCCAGCTCCTGGTGCAATCTACTGTCATCTCCCGCCTCGATTACTGCAATGCCCTTCTAACTGGTCTTCCAGGCTGTACTGTGAGACCTCTTCAAATGGTCCAGAACTAGGGCTGTAGCGAAGCCTCGACTACGTCGACGGCTCGATTCTAAAAATTTGTCGACGTCAGATCCGGAAGTCGACGCACCGCGCCCACTTGTTGCATCCCCAGGAGTTTGTAAATAGAGGAGGAATCTGCCTGTTTTTCCTCTAGTTCGCCCTCTTCTCCGCCTTCACTAACATCTCCGCCAAATACCGAAGACCCGGAACAATGTCCGTCCACTACTAGATTATTTTCCTGTTTTGCCCGCCTTCATCTCCCGGCAACGGACAACAACTTCCGGGGTCAGATGCGCTGCTTCGTCTCTATCGCAGATGTAGAAAATCACCGGGAGCGTTTCTCCCTTCATAAAGGAGCTTCTTTCAGACATGAGGAGAGCTGTTTTGGTGGTAGCAGTCTCTCCTCCGTGCTGGTCTGTTTGCTGCTGGGTGTTTTGGTTTATTTAAACTTGGTAACTTGAACTTAACGTTGGTAAAGCTACTGTTAGCATCTTCGCTAACAGCTTCTTGCGTTGGGATAAGCTGTTACGTTTTGGTTTAGAGTTAATCTTTTTTGTGGTGTAGATCTCCCTTTTATTACATTTAGAGTGTTGTGGGTTTTCGGTTTAGTGTAAAATATCACCTTGAGTTTGGTTTAACCCGTAAGACCACTCGCCTCACGCACATAAGTGATCAAAACAAAGCAGCATGGAGACACTCCATCTTCTACCACCTCTCAGGCAGCAGCCTGCACTCCCAAGTTCTACACGTCACCAGAACATAACCAACCGCAACACAATAAAAGCAGTGTTATACAAAATGGAAGGCCTGTAGTGTTTATTCTCTTACAGTAACAATTTATCAATTTTTTTGAGGAATTTATTTGAGATTTTCTGGTTTTTGTTAATTGTGCAATAGAAAAATAATCATTAGATTAATTTTCTAAATAGTCATTAGAATAGTCGACTATTCGATAAAATAATCGTCAGAATAATCGTTTTAAAAATAATCGTTTACCCCCAGCCCTATCCAGAACGCAGCGGCGCGTTTGGTCTTCAATCAGCCAAAAAGAGCACACGTCACCCCTCTGTTCATTGAGCTCCACTGGCTACCGCTAGCAGCACGCATCAAATTCAAATTGCTAACACTAGCATACAAAGTCTGAGATGGTACAGCTCCCATCTACCTGAATCCTCTTGCAAAGGCTTACGTCTCGGCCCGGCCACTCCGGTCATCACAGGATCGTCGGCTAGCAGTGCCTACGCCACGCTCAGGACAATCCAGACTCTTCTCATGCATCGTTCCACAAATGTGGAATGACCTACCAAGCACTACCAGAACAGGGGCTTCCTTTTCGACTTTCAAAAAACTCCTGAAGACCCTGCTCTTCAGAGAGCATCTTCTTAACTAGCACCCTTTTTCCCTCTTCTCCATGATTCATCATGCTGCCTCACCGCCACCTACAACTGACTGGAAATTGTTTGTTGTTGTTGTTGTTATTATTATTGTTGTTGTTAGCCTCAAGGGCAACATGCAGATTATCACTTTGTAAGTCGCTTTGGACAAAAGCGTCTGCTAAATACATAAACATAAACATATTGTTCGTATTTGTCAATAAAAAAAGAGAAACCTATGTCAGAGTGACAAACCAAGCGGACTTGTGCATAATCATCGTTTTCTTTAAATTCTCTGGACCCCCCCCCCCCCCCCCCTTGATGCTAAATTGAATGAAATAAATGTTCATTTTTGTTCCTGCATTTATTCTGGTGTTTTGCCTTAAAATGACTTATGTACCTAGCTGTGCATCTGACAGCTGTTTCCTCCCACTGAGACACTTTGTGGTTCACAGATTACGACGACTACTTGGATGACGATGATCTTGACCTAATTGAGGAAAATTTGGGTGTTAAAGTCAAAAGGAGGGTAAGTATAATTTTCAATAAAGACTCTTCTTTATGTTTTTTAATATTAAAGTTTAACTTTAAGCTACAGTTTTGACACATTTTCAGTTTCAAATGTGCAAGCTTGCTCCATTGGTGCTGTGCCTGTTTTTTGCTGTAGAAGAAGAAATATGACCGTGTGAAAACACTGGATGATGATGAAGAGGATGATGACCAAAAGGATTTGATCGCAGATGAGATCTTTCATATGGATGGTGAGGGTGAGCTGGAGGAGGGTGAAGCTGTTGATGAACCCCTCCAGCATCCAGATGATGATGAAGAAGGAGAGGATGAGGAGTCAGGTTAGCAGAAAACCTTCTGAACCTGTTTGAAAACTAATAGGAATATAAAACTCGTGACTCATACTAATTCGTTAAATACATTTCTTCCACAGATATAGATGATTTTATTGTTGATGATGATGGCCAACCCATAACCAAAAAGAAAGGCAAGAAGGTCTCCGGATACACTGATGCGTGAGTGTTTGTATTTTGTTATTAAATGTTTATTTTTATTATTATTATTATTTGGTGAATGATGAGTGGTACCAATGTCACTGCATTCCTCCAACATTAATATCAGGAATCATCACTCAGACCTTTATGTATTTTCCCAGAGCTCTCCAGGAAGCTCAGGAGATTTTTGGAGGCGACTTCGACTTTGCTGACTTTGACGCAGACGTCTATGACCAAGGAGAGGAGGAAGAAGAAGATCAAGATGAAGAGGGTTACCTGCCAAAGAAACAGACAAAGAGAAGGCAGGGGAGGAAGAGCATCTTTGAGATCTATGAGCCCAGCGAGCTGGAGAGCAGTCACATGACTGACCAGGACAATGAGATCCGGTCCACAGACATGCCTGAGAGGTTCCAGGTGTGCGTTAGTTTAATGGCGGTAAACATGTTTTTTCTCTGTGTGTGATGCTAGAGGTCTTAGTGGCTTCTTGTTTTGCAGCTGAGGTCCATCCCTGTTAAATCTGCTGAAGATGATGAGCTAGAAGAAGAAGCAGAGTGGATCTTTAGACATGGGTTCTCCACTCTGACCATCTCCATGCAGGTATAGGCTTTCCTCTTCCTTACCACCCTGGAAAAACTTAACGTCTTTGTAGTACAAACATCTCACCTGATTGGTTTTCTATTTTCTGTGCTCCAGTAATTCATATTCTGTATAATTTTATTTTCATATCAGGAGAGCACGGATTATCTTGACAGAGGAACAACAACGAACTTCAGCAGGAAAGGGCCCAGCACTATTGCTAAGATCAAAGAGGCCCTCAACTTCATGAGGAATCAACAGTTTGAGGTAGAGTGGGGTTCTGATAATTTAGTGTTTGTCAATATTTCTTATATCTGATCCTAATTCAGTGGAAACGTTTTACCTTTTAGGTTCCGTTCATAGCTTTTTACAGAAAGGAATATGTGGAGCCTGAGCTAAATATTAATGACCTGTGGAAGGTGTGGCAGTGGGACGAAAAGGTAAATTGATCTTTTTTATTATTATTATTATTATTGTTATTATTATTGAGAGAAAATTTAGATTGAGGATTTTGTGATTGGACAATATTTTCCAAACTCTTGAAAGAACCATAAAGAATGAATAAACCCTTTAAAAGTTTAGAAAAGAACAATAGGAGCTCTTAAAACATTTATGATTTTTATTTCAACCCGACTGATGGGATAGTTAGGATGCAGCTTAACTGGTTAAAGCATGGTTTATGCTTGACGCGTCCGCGAGGTTCGCACGGCTCTGCGCGGAAAAGTTGTGTCATTTTAACTCATTCACTGCCAGCCGTTTCCTGATCGCTAACGGCCTTCTCTGCCAGCGTTTCTCGCAGTTTTTACTGTTTTTTTAAGAGTCACAGAATGTTGCGTGCTAGCATGATGTCGCCAAAACAACCAAAACAAAGAGGAGACTCACCTCTTACATCAGGAAGAATCCGTGTGATTAGAGCGTTATCCGTTCTTTCATAATCCGTTGTCGAATTGTGATCGGCAGACGCTTTTCCGGTTCGCGCCTCACTTTTTTTTTACAGGAACGGCCCAAAACGATCTCCAAACACATGGATGTGTTGCTTCCTGATCTGTGACGTATGCGGATGAAGATCGGCTTCAGGGCTGAGATGTTTGTTCTATCAGCGCGGGGGCTCGTTCTGATGCTCAAACAATAAAAAAATGCAAATGACGACTTTAGTCGTCATTGGCAGTGAATGAGTTAACAACCACGCCCCTCCACCGCGCCTCCGCACAGCCCAAACTTTCCGCAACGCGCACCTAGGAAATTTTCTAACCACGCGGATGGTCGGTCGCGGAAAAACATGGCGGACTGGCAAGAACTAGTATGGCAGAGGTTCGTAAATACAGACATTTGTATGATTCAGCTCTCAAAGATCACCGTGATCAACATGTTGTTAATAATTCTTGGAGAGAAATAGCTCGCACTGTCGGAAAAGACGAGGATGCTGTTAAAAAAATGCTGGAATGCCATGTTGTAAACAACAGTAATTTCTACTTCTACTATGGTGTAGTGTTGGATGCATGCCTAGAGCTCCATGCTGCCCCCTACAGTTTGGGAGAATATTGGCTCACCGCAGAGACGAGCTGCATGAACCATAAACGCTGCGAGTTGTGAAGCGCGTTCCATCTGCGAGCCGCATCACCAAGCGGAAAATAAATGCGTCACGCATAAACCAAGCTTAACATTGTACAGTAATAAAATATGATATTTAGGTAAACATGCATGTTTGTGTGACTCTTACATTTCTGTCCTTCTCACCAGTGGACTCAGCTAAAGACGCGGAAGCAGAATCTGACTCGTCTGTTTCAGAAAATGCAGTCCTACCAGTATGAGCAGATATCTGCCGACCCCGACAAACCTCTGGCTGATGGTATTCGTCCTCTGGACACGGCTGACATGGAGAGGTACAGTTTCACAACACTGCAGGAAAAGATCATTCCTTGAGTACAGGGTCCGAAATTAACACTCGCCAAATGGCGCAATTTGCTCGCATTTGGCGAGTAAATTTTTGAGCTCTATCTGCCACATAGCGAGTAAATGTTTGCACCAAATTAGTTATGTTTATCAGTCATCTTCCATGGATTTCTGATACTCCTCCCGCCTGCATGCAAAGTACACAAACGTACGCGAAACGTGAGCGCCGCATCCAACTTCATTTCCACTTATCCCATTCAATCAGTTTATCAAGTTAGCAGTTAGCTTCGTGTAAAACTAGCGGTGAAATGTGGCGGGTTTTAACTGGAGTCAGCCAGCCTTCCAAAAGAAAATTCGTCAAACTGAAAGAAAATCCACCAGGACCAGTGGCAACCAGAAGATTTTGTGAAGAGTAGCGAACTGGAGATGGCGAGTCGTAAGACAAGGGCTACATTATGATGGCCACGTAGATGTGTCATGAGATTTGAAGCGTTGCTGTCTTTCACAGACACTTTTTCTGCATGTGCTTCAAACAAGATAGCCGTCTTCTATCAACTCTCCCTCTGCATTCTTCAAATATCCAAAAATGCCCGTACTTCCCACTTTGTCTTCTTTGAGCGATAATAAATGTCCTGAGCGCTGCCGTCTCCTCCTTCGGCCATTATTTCAGCTTTAGCTTAAAGAAAGTTTTGGTCGTAAACGACAAAGTGCGCATGTGCCGCCGGCAACTTCAGCAGATGATACGGTGACTGGTAAGGGTCACCGCGTCTACACCGCAGCCACGGTAATCCACCGAGATGATATATTTATAAAAAAACAAGACAGTTATTATTGTCAACTTTTTTACCGGGGTTTACCACTACACCGGTTACCGTGACAACCCTAGCCCTGACACACTTTCAGATATTCTCATGGTGCAGCTGTGTTCTCCAGAGATCAAAGACTAGGACCCAAATGAGGCTGTAATGCTTTGGCACAAAGACGGTGTCAGAAGCAGGAGGTCAGACTTCAAGGACAGAGAAAACAAGGAGTCTGACTAGATTTCAATGAAAGATTTCATAAAAACATCTATAAAAATAAATAAATTGTAAAAATAACAAAAGAGTTGTTTCTCATATTAATTGATGTTTTAATTATTTTGTCACTTTGTTTGGAATCAACATAATATAGAATTACATGCTTTAGGTGGATCTAAATCATTTTGAATTTTGGCCGGTAAAAAATATGCTTGGCCGGTAGATTTTCATCATCTTCCGGCCAACTTGGCCGGTGAGTAAAAAATTTAATTTCGGACCTGCTTGAGTACCTTATTTTGTTATGGTTGAACAAAGCTATAAGTAATTAAATATAAATAAAAATATTCTGAAAAACTGATTACTAGTTCAAACCCCTACTTGCTCTTTATGGAATAATCTAAACATCATTTATTATATTTCACAGGCTAAAGGATGTACAGACTCTTGAAGAACTGGGGGATGTGTACAATCACTTTTTGCTCTATTATGGCCGAGACATCCCCAAAATGCAAAACGCCGCCAAAGCCAGCAAGAAGAAACTCAAGAAGATCAAAGAAATTTCAGAAGATGGTCAGTTGGGGAATGTTGATTGATAACTGGACAGAAACAACATAATTTTTCATGTTTAGAAAAAGGCTTATTTGGACAATATGGATCTTAACCCTTAGGTGAAGAAGAGGAGGTGGAAGTTGAAGAAGAAGAGGAACAGAAAGGACCTGACCTCAAACTGGCGTCTCGAAGAGACATGTACAGCATCTGTCAAAGCGTGGGACTTGGTTAGTCACTCGTATCTAGTATGAATTCCACGATCTTCCACAGCTGTTGAAGCTATTCTTACGTTTTCTTTCTTTTTTTACAGACGGCTTAGCTAAAAAGTTTGGACTGACTCCAGAGCAGTTTGGAGAGAATCTCAGAGACAGTTACCAGCGTCACGAGACGGAGCAGTTCCCCGCCGAGCCCCTGGAGCTGGCCAAAGACTACGTTTGTAGTCAGTTCTCCACTCCCGAGGCAGTCCTGGAAGGAACCAGGTATATGGTCGCCATACAGATTGCTCGGGAGCCTCTGGTCAGACATGTTCTCCGTCAGACCTTCCAGGAGCGGGCCAAGATCAACACCAAACCTACCAAGAAAGGCAAAAAGGTACGGAAAGTTTTGGTGTCGGTAAAGAGACATTAGGTGGAGAGAATAATCTTCTTAATCCACTCTTTCATTTGTTTTTTCTCAATAGGAGGTAGACGAGGCTCATTTTGCTTATTCCTTCAAGTATCTCAAAAATAAACCCGTAAAGGAACTGAATGCAGATCAGTTTTTGAAGATGTGCCTGGCAGAGGACGAGGGTCTTCTTTCCATTGACATCTGTATAGATCTAATAGGCGTCAAAGGGTGAGTCGATATAGCGATGTCTGAAGCTAATTAGACTTCTTTAAGTAGAGCGTTACATTTGTTATTCAACTGGATCGGGCAAATCATAAATTTGCAAACATCCTGTTTCTGTGGGAGGGAAGACTACTTAAGCAGAATACATTTCCTGGGTCCATCTTTTTTAGAACATTAACAGTAGCTAGATATGCAAATCGGCATCCTTGTGAAAAAATGTATTTGCTTTTAAAGTTATCTGTTCTCTTTTTATTTCATTTTTAAGGTATGCTGGGGACCAGACGTACTTTGATGAGATCAAGCAGTTTTACTACAGAGATGAATTCAGTCACCAGGTCCAAGAATGGAACAGACAGCGAACGTTGGCCATAGAGAGAGCTCTCAATCAGTTCCTCTACCCTCAGATGGCCAAGGAGCTCAAAAGTAAACTGATCGCCGAGGCCAAAGAGAGCATCGTCAAGGTAAATTGTAGCTACTTCACTTGATTATCTATCTATTGGATGGATGGCTAGATGGACATTGCAGATAATTGTCACGGCATATTTCTTCCAAATGAACTTGTGAGCGTTTGTTTACTCATAACCTGACATCTAATGTTCTTCATTTGTTCTGGAAGTCCTGCTGCCGCCGGTTGTATAACTGGCTTAAGGTGGCTCCTTACAGGCCAGATCAGCAGGTGGAAGAAGATGATGACCTGATGGATGAGAGCCAGGGAAAAGGCATTCGAGTGTTGGGTGTTGCTTATGCTCCCAGCAGGTAAGTTTGCCACAACACCCTCACCCTTCTGCATGTAGACATGTGCTGCTGACACTAATAACAGGACAGTTTGTAAAAATATTTACTCGACGTGTGTGGTTGGAGGAAGGACTGGTGTTTGTTAAAGGGACAGTTTCATTTGACAGAGACACGCCAGTTTTCTGTGCTTTGATCAACGGAGACGGAGAGGTGGTGGACTTCCTTCGTTTGCCGTACTTCCTGAAGAGGAGGAACGCTTTCAGGGAAGATGAGCGAGAGAAGAAGGTACAAACAGAACATAGATGTAGCTCTGTGTTATGTATGGATTTATGTAGAAATATTTAAAACAATATAGAGAATGCATTCTTGAAGCTTCTTGTCTGATCTGTTATGTTTCCAGGCTGCTGATATTGAAAGTCTTAAGAAGTTTCTCTCAAGCAAGAAGCCTCACGTGGTGGCCGTAGCTGGGGAGAACCGGTAAAGGATTCATTTTTATTTTATTGAAATATTATTTTAAAATTTCTACCCAGTATCAGAAATAACTTTTTAAGTCCAAACTGATGACTTTTTTTATTTCGCTATTGTGCTGCAAAGTGGTTCCGCCTCTTTGTTTTTCATGGACACATTTTTATTGTAGGATTGTCTTTGGGTGAAAAATCATAAATCAAAACTTGTTGTGTACAGAGATGCTCAAATGATCATGGAGGACATAAAGAGGACCATCAGTGAGCTTGAGCAGGAATCGTCTCTACCTGCTGTGGGAGTGGAACTGGTAGACAACGAATTGGCCACGCTGTACATGAACAGTAAGAAGTCTGAGGTAAACTCCTTGACGCTTCAATGATCATGCAGAACACTTAGACACAAGCATATGAGAGTTTTTGATGTTGCAATCAGTCTCTGCAAAGTCACTCAATCTGAGTTGTGTCTCTGTTTCACCTGAACCTTCATTATCTCTTGTTTGCAGAATGATTATAGGGATTATCCTCCGCTGCTGCGACAGGCAGTCTCAGTAGGCAGGAAGATTCAGGATCCTCTGATAGAGTATGCTCAGGTCTGCAGCACAGACGAGGACATCCTCTGTCTCAAACTACACCCGCTGCAGGTGTGTTAATCATGTAAAGTGTTTAAACATCCAATTTGACAAGATTTGTGTCATTTTTGCTCTGGGTGGAAATCAAACTGACGATTTAAAGTGAAATAAACACGATTCTGTAACTTCATGCTGCACATCTTTCTAACAAACTTCTTCGTTTTCCCAGGAACATGTAGTGAAGGAGGATTTGCTCAGCGCTCTTTACTGTGAGTTCATCAACCGTGTCAACGAGGTCGGTGTTGATGTGAATAGGGCGATCGCTCATCCTCACACTCAGAGTCTGGTCCAGTATGTGTGTGGTTTGGGACCAAGGAAGGGTGCCCACCTACTAAAGGTTTGTGTTCCGACACGACGAGCCTATCCAGCATTGCTAATGTTTACAGCTGTTGATTTTACAATGACTGCTTACTAATTTGTGCAGATCCTGAAGCAGAACAACACACGTCTGGAAAACAGAACACAGCTGGTCACCATGTGTCACATGGGACCCAAAGTTTTTATCAACTGCGCTGGTTTCATTAAGATAGACACAACATCACTCGGGGACAGGTTGGTTCCTTTTGCATTGTGGTACGTTAGAAAGACTGTGCCAGGGTTCATACGTGTGCTTGAAAAAAATGCATAACGTGTTATCAAGGTATGGAACGTGCTTGATTTCTGTATGAAATCCTTGAACATGCTTGAAAATCAAACTGTGCAGTGTTTTGTTTAAGATCAACCAGAGTAGTTTGATGAAAAACCCAGATTTGTTATTTTTGTTAGTGACAAAAACTAGAGAGCGATCATTTAGCCTTTAATAAACACGGTTCAGAAAACTTCGCTGCTGCTCTGAGCGGGTCGGCTCCTTTCTGTAACACCAGTGTGTGAGGAGCCACTGGACCGTCGGCGTCCTCTGGCTTCGCTATGAAGCAGACCTACTTAAGCATGAAACTGGTATGCTAGTCATGTGTGTGTGAGAGCTCTGCTTTGGGACTGAGATCCAGCGGATCCTTCTGTAATAAAATTAAGACAGGAGTAGAGCAGGGTGCCAAACCTCTGTCACGCTTTAGCAACAACCAGATACGTTTAGTAGGCACGGGTACGATCTCAATAAAAAGCTCCTGTTGTGAGCCGCTAAGCTCTGTTTCTCCCGCTGCTGCAATTCACTTGAGATGTCAGCCGCTCTCACTCAAATACCCTCGGAGTAGGAAATGGGCCAATGGACATGGGGTAAGTGCAGTGTGGGACATGTCCACCGCGATTTTTTTCAATTGTTTAATCTGTTAATATGTGGAAACTTATTTTTCCAAGCTGTCTTTAAACGCACCTAGAACGTACACATGCTAGCATCCAGTGGATTTCAGACAGGTACTGCTGAGGCAAAGGCAAAAACTTAGAGTAAGTTGTTATGCTGCTGCATGTAGCTAATGTTAGCTAATACATGCCAGTATATCATGTTAAGCTAGTTAACAATGTCTTTACTTGTTACATCCTTTGCTAGTTAGTTCCTGCTGGTAATAAACCAAAAACTCCATTTTTGTGCAGAACTTGTGCTCACTGTGGCCTTCCGTGTGTTTGAGAGAAAAACTAATATTCCCTCAGTAGACAGCAGAGTCCTGGAGGGTCTGCAGGTGAAAAGAGTAAAAGTAGCATAAAAGAGACTTTGGGGTTCATTTCCACAGTAATTTCACTGCGACGTTACTCATCCTATTTCTATTTCAACATTTTGTTTTCCGTGGTTTCTTTTATTTTTATTGCCACAATGGAGCAGAGTCATGGAGGAGACACAAAGCCATAGGACAGCAGGGACGGTGTTGCAGAAGCAGGCATCAGGACAGGGTTTCACAGATCTTCCAGAATTATTCTCATTCACATTTTAAAATGTTTTAAATTGCAGCCCAGGCAGAAGCCAGGACAAAAAGCTGGCAGACAGCCACCAGCTGCTATTCAAGCTTTCTTCTTTTGTTCCTGCTCAGCAGGTGGAGCCTTGTAACTATTAACTTAATAAAATAGTAATAATGATAATTAATACCTGTCTTTGAACCACTGTTACTATTGTTAATCGCTGAGTCAGTGATGAAATGGTTCTGGTTGATTAAATGTACCTTGACGATGCTTGAAAAGTGCTTGAAATTTGACCGTGGGAAAAGTGTACTGGAACTAGAACTCTTAACATTTTTTCCTCTTTCAATCTCTCCAGTACGGATGCTTACATAGAGGTTCTGGATGGTTCTCGAGTCCATCCCGAGACGTATGAGTGGGCTAGGAAGATGGCCGTCGACGCACTGGAGTACGATGAGTCTGCAGAAGATGCAAACCCAGCTGGAGCGCTGGAGGAGATCTTGGAAAATCCAGAGCGTCTCAAAGATCTGGACCTGGATGCTTTTGCTGAAGAGCTTGAGAGACAGGTCAGTGTGGAAATAAAGCTGGTACCCCACATACTTTATTCTGGTTTTTAGCATACTTTTACTTTTTATTCAATTCAGACAATTTTTCAAAGGTCATTTTATATTTCAGACGTGTGTAGAGTCTAAACTGTTTTTGTTTTATGTAATGTGATCTCTTCAGGGTTATGGCAACAAGGGCATAACTCTTTATGACATCCGTGCAGAGCTGAGCTGCAGATATAAAGACCTCAGAGTTCCTTACCGAGTCCCCAACACTGAAGAGGTCTTCAATCTGCTCACCAAGGAAACCCCAGAAACCTTTTATATTGGTAAACATAAAACAATTAAAGCGTCTCTAAACATCAGTACTTTGTAATGAAACATGTGAGTTTATTTGGTTGCTTTTGAGGCAAATTATTCACTTTTTTTTTTTTTTGCTTCCTCCTTTGTCCAGGTAAGCTAATAACTAGTGTAGTAACTGGTATCGCTCACCGGCGTCCTCAGGGAGAGAGCTATGACCAGGCTATTCGTAATGATGCCACCGGCCTGTGGCAGTGTCCCTTCTGCCAGCAGGATAACTTCCCTGAGCTGAGTGAGGTACCAGAAATGTTTTCTTCTTTCAGCAAATGTCTTAACAAAACCATGGTTATTCTCAGAGCTAAAGATATTTCCTTTTCTCTTTTAGGTGTGGAATCACTTTGACAGCGGCTCATGTCCAGGTCAGGCCATCGGAGTCCGGTCCAGGTTAGATAATGGAGTTCAGGGCTTCATTCCTACCAAGTTCCTTAGCGACAAAGTGGTCAAACATCCAGAGGAAAGGGTCAAGGTGAAGTGTTCTAAATTTACATTAAATGAAGCTCCTGTTTCGTGTGTTTCAGTTCCTCTGTGGTAGCTTTAAGGCTTGGTTAAATGAACTCCTCCATCACCTTCAGGTGGGCATGACGGTTCACTGCCGCATCATGAAAATCGACATTGAGAAGTTCAGCGTAGACCTCACGTGTCGTACCTCAGATCTGATGGACAAAGGCAACGAGTGGAAGCTTCCTAAGGACAGCTATTATGACTTTGACGCAGAAGCCGAGGACCAGAAACTGGAGGAGGAGCTAAAGAAGAAACAACAGCGAACACGTTAGTTTTTGTGATTGACACGGTTTACACACAACACTAGGGCTCATTTTGACATTTTTAACCATAGCGTTAATTGTTTGTGTATATTCTACTCTCCCGCAGCATATATAAAACGTGTGATCGCCCACCCCAACTTCCACAACATCAGTTTCAGCCAAGCAGAGAAGATGATGGAGACGCTGGACCAGGGAGACCTGATCATCAGGCCCAGCAGCAAAGGAGAGAACCACCTCACGGTCACCTGGAAAGTGAGAAACCCTCCTTAGCATGTAAAGCAAAACCAATGTGTTGTTTCTACATGACTCATTTTTAAATGGACTCGTTGTGTTTTGAAGGTGGCTGAAGGCATTTATCAGCATGTGGACGTGAGAGAAGAAGGCAAAGAGAACGCATTCAGCTTGGGTCACACTCTCTGGATCAATACTGAGGTAAAACTTTGGGCCTTTTAACCAAACCAGAAAGCGTTTTGAGAAGCTGCTGTAGTTTTATTGAACTTCTTTTCATTTCTCTGTAGGAGTTTGAAGATCTGGATGAAATCACTGCTCGGTACATTCAACCAATGGCCTCGTTCGCACGAGATCTGCTGGGACATAAATACTTTCAGGGTTGCAACGGTGGAAGCAAGGAGGTATTCACCTGTCTTGATGATTCTGTTGTGTTTAAATAGTCAATCCCACTGTTTGACTTGCTGCTTTTTTGTCTCCTTGATAGAAAATGGAGGAGTTGTTGATCAAGACAAAGAGGGAGAAGCCCACTTTCATTCCTTACTTTATTTCAGCTTGTAAAGATCTGCCAGGAAAATTCCTTTTGGGCTACCAGCCTCGTGGAAAACCTCGGTGAGCGGAATAGTTTATTTTTTATTATTCATGTGATAAATTTGCTTTCACAGGTCAAGCAGTCAACGTTTTAATCTGTTGCCTTTTTACCAGATGTGATAAATATAGTCACTACTGCTAATGTTTTATATCAGCTGTTTTACTTGGTGCCACACAAATGTTCACACTCACTCCAGGATGAAACATCTGTGGTAAATCTGTGTTGCATAGTATTTCCCAAAACTGCATATATTGTGTTGTTTTTTTACTTCATCTACCTTATGGTTTTTTGTTTGTTTTTGTTTTTTCTCCTTTCATAAAGAATTAAAAGTACAAAAGCTTCACCTGCTTACATTCATTCCCAAAGCATTTTTAACTGCCTAATATTTTTTATTTTCATTACTCTGATGTTGCCTCAGTGTGCTTGAACGTTTCAGTAATGAGCTAAATTAGCTTTTTTCATACACTGCTTTTATTTTCATGCTCATAAAGGAGTTCATAGATGCACAAAATGTGTGATATCTTCTTTTTGTGTAAGCAGCTTAACTCCACACAATGCCTGCAGCATGATTATGAGTTTTTATTCAGTCTTTTTAATTAGATTTGATAGTCAAATTATTTTTATCCTCCCCTTAGAGTTGAGTATGTGACCATCACGCCGGACGGTTTCCGCTATCGTTCACAAACGTTTCCCACAGTGAACGGGCTCTTCCGCTGGTTTAAGGATCATTATCAAGAGCCTGTGCCAGGTATGTGATAGATGGTTAAAGTTTGGACTCTAGATTTATTTATTTAATTGTTTATTTATTTGTTTGTTTTTTAATGACATTTTCTGTCCCCATCAAAGGCATTACTCCCTCTAACAGCAGCAGAACCAGAACCCCCGCATCTCTGAACGCAACGCCGGCCAATATAAATATTGCAGGTAAGTCCAGCTTTCTTACACACACACACACACACACACCAAAGATGTTTTTAAGCTTTTATAATCTATTCCCTAATTTTTCCCCAGATTTGACTCGAGCTGTCAACGCCCTCCCACGAAACATGACTTCTCAGATGTTCAATGCCATCGCCGCCGTGACGGGTCAGAGCCAGAACCCCAACACAACTCCTGCACAGTGGGGCTCCAGCCAGTATGGCTTTGGTGGCAGCACAGGAGGTGGAGGCAGCTCGTCTGCTTATCACGTGAGGAGAATCTTAATGCTGCAGTGTTGCTTAAAGGCTGATTTAATTCTTTTTATAAATAAGTTCTAGTTTGTTTTACTTTCGTCTGTCTCATACGTAGGATTTTACTCTGTAACTTAACTGTTCATGTGTGTTCTCTTCAGGTATTTGCCACCCCTCAGCAGCCCATGGCGACACCCATGATGACTCCTAGCTATTCCTACACAACCCCGAGCCAGCAGACCCTGGGCACGCCACAGTATCCAGGCTCCACCCCTCAGTCTTCTCAAACACACGCCCACCCACACCTTACGCCTCACAGCCTTCCTGGCCACCACAGCAGTCATCATGGCCACTCATCCAGCACACCCTCTTCCTCCACCTCATCACGAGGACGAACGCCACAGCAACAGCAGCCGCAGTCAAAGTAAGCACTGTGACATCACTCAGCCTCTAGGTGGCGACCAAACTACACTCTGAAGTTTTATTTTTTGAAGAGCTCACCATATCTTCAGAATTATTTATTTATGTTTGCTGTTTAATACAACCTTTTCTCATCTGCAGGCCTAGCAGCAGCTCCACTGCAGTCGACTGGGGGAAGATGGCTGAGCAGTGGCTAAAGGAGAAAGAAGCAGAGGGGAGGAAAAAATCCTCGAGGATGACACCACGGCCGTCTCCCAGCCCCATGATTGAGAGCACACCCATGTCGCTCCCCGGAGATGCCACACCTCTGCTGGATGAAATGGACCGATAGAACACGGAGGGGGGGCGTCAGTTCACCCCACAAATTCTTTGTACCGCCTCACTCGGATAACCTGTTCTTCTTGTCCTTCCCCACATCTTATCATCATCTTTATCTCCATCCAGCCGATGATCACTGGTTCTCCTCACCGCCTTAGCTGACTCATGTCAACTCAGATCTCTCTCCTCTTTGTCCCTCTCATACCAAATGCTTCATTTCCTCCACTCCCACCAAGCTGCTTCGTGTTGCGCAGAAAGACAGAACCGTGATAATAAAAACTACTTGAAGTATCAGTTACACTTAGGACATGGATCTACACAGACAAGCTGTCCTATCTTTGTTTTTGTGTTTGCTTATTGCTCATATGGTTCCAGGCGAAGGGAACAGTCAGCCGTTCCTCCATTATGGCTGGTGGAATGTTGAAAGCAGTTGCCATAACAACACTTTGTTTGCCAAGCCAGCAGGAAATTTAATTTTTGTTTGGAATTCGTCAGAATGAATAAAGACTTCTGTTTTCTGTTTGAAACTTTAGACTCCGCGCTTCACATCAACACAGCGATAACTACATGCAGGAATGATCGAGGAGGGGTTAGAAGAGTCGTCCCCACCACGTGCTGTATTACAATCAGCTGACTGTCTCTGATGTAGACTCTGCAGCCGGTCCTATGTGGACATGAGCACATGGAACATTCCACTTTGGACACGGTTGTTCTCAATAACCTTGTATGCTTCGACATAAGGCATGGTGGAGGAAGGTAGCTTTTATTTGAAAGCTTTTTGATTCTAGTGACGAAATCCAATTAGCAGATGTTTGATCTGTCGAGGGAGCATGTATGAGTTTGTTTTTTATTTACTCTCATCTGAATCTCGTTTTCAGTTTAGTAAATCTCACCTGACGATAAGTAACATTCACCATCTTTGGAAACCAGCAAACTGGATTTTCACCTTTGCAGCAAAAATCTAAATGTCTCAGTGGAGGAAATCATGTTTTTTTCTAACTCTATCAAACTTACTTCTGCTGTGTTTATGTTCCTGTAATATCTCAACTGCACGTATTTGTTTTAGTAGAATGGATTTATTATTAAAAAACTCAGTAGGGATTTAGTTGCTCCTCAGCCTCCCTCCATGATGCATTCACTTCTGTCTCTGTGCCACAGTACAAACAAGCAGCACTGATATTTAATGGTGTGCTATTTAACTTGCATTATGCAAAGTATGATGGTCCCATATATTGCATACTGTTTTAAATAAATTTTGTTTGTAAGTCCTGAGTTTTACCTCTGGCCAGGTTGAGATGTTGAAACCTGTCTCAGCGAGCCTGATTGGTTGTCTGCAGTCACCTGAGGTGCTGCAGACAACCAGTTCTATCTGTGATCTCTTTAATAAAAGTGTTCATAGAAAACCTTTGTCTTGTGCTGATTTTAGAAAAAAAATGGGTTTGTTGTTACAAATGACTTGATCAGCCAATGATGACTTCAATAAATCCAAAATATGGTTTTCAACTTACATTTATTAGAGGAAAACATGAAATATGAGGAAAATCTACAGATTTCTGAAGATTTTTTTTTTCTAGTTTCTGACTCCCTGAGGGAATCTGTTGGTTCAGATGTGACTTGCTGCACAAATCCATCCCCGAGAACAATCCCTGCATTTTAAAGATCATGTGAAAGTCAGAGAAGAGGAGTGCATTATGGGCAGGATGGAGGTCATTTCAGCTGATCTATGAGTCACATTAGCAGCACAAAAAACATGTGACCAAACCAGAAAAGAAAAAAACTGGATTTTATTCTGACATTTTCAAATACAACAGAAGAAGAAAAAAAAATCATCAGACATTTGGATGTTTTTTGAAGGTGTTTGTCCTGCTGAAAAACAATTTCCACCATTTTTATTTCAACAGAACTGCTTCTTGGATCATGACTTTTCTTTCTAACAAAACATTTACAGTATCCTACAAACACTGGCTGACATCTCTTTAAGAAGCTGTTTTCACAAAATCCGCTCTGAAGCTGTGAGTTTCAGCTGCATTTTTCTGGTCATCGCTGCAGTAAATCTATTCGGTTTGGGGCTCAGCAGCAGTTGGTTTTCCTCTTCAGTTTGTGACCGCCTTCTGGGCTGTCTTTGATCCCTGAATGCAACACAGAAACAAATGTCAGCATGCAGCAAACATATCATCAACCTAAAATGTGCTGAAAATCGGAGTGAAATTGATAGGTTCATTGCCAAGCAACATGTTTGTCGGGGTAGAGGTGCAAATTTTTATAAATAAGCAGATAAATAATTTGTTTCTTGGTTTTCCACGTCCAGATTTGTCTCCATAAACAAGACAGCATCCGTAGGCATGACGACAAGCAGAAACTTCTGCATGAAGCGACTCACTGATGATGTCGCTGGTGTGCCTTGACTCGTTCAGCTCCAGCTCAGCCAAAACGTTTGCCTCAAAGGTCAAAGAGGCCACGCGGAGGAAGAAGTCCCTGATGCCGTCTCCTGGGACAGCCAAGAGGGAGAGAGAGAGAGACCGGGACTCAGAGTGGAAAAAAGAATAAATAAGATCTGATGCTGCTGGTTTCTCTCCAACCTGACTTTGCGGACACGGCCCAGTACTCCGCTTTGATTTCCTCTGAGAGTCTGATGGCTTCCTGTTCAGTCTGAGCCAACTGTTCAGGAGACTGAGGAACAAAAGGACAAAAACGAAATCTGAGGAGTGACTTCTAATGATTTTGGGTTCTGATCTAACTCTAAATACAACCTGACTAATAAGATGATCACACCAGACTTAGGCGAGGTTTCATGTTTGAACCATTAACTCATCAACTGTCTCTCCAGTTCATGTGATGAATACAAAATATTAGAAAACCAAACATATCAGAATTCTTCACAAATTCCTCAGATTCCCTTTAAGAGCTATTTTAGATAGACAAAAAATGACCCACCCCCCAAAAATCTCAATAAGTTGTTTTTTATTAACATATAAGAAAGAATAACAAAATTAAATAATATAAAATGCATAGCTAAAGGTAACATTTTACAATAAAGCTCCCTTAACGTTTCTTCATACATTAATAAGCATTAATAAACTATTAAATAAAGTACTAACAACTGCAATGTTGATATTATGTAATGCATTATTAAGCAGACACACACCTGGCCCTTTGTCCTAAGGCACTTAATAGTTAACAACATCAGGAACATTAATAAAGGAATCCTTTGTGTATTAATGCTTAATAATGCACTAAGTAACATCAATAAAGGGATCCTTATTGTAAAGAGTTACCAATGCATATATGTATAAAAATATTATTTTCAATACAAACTAAAAGTATTTAAAACTTTTTTCAAAGTAAATGCAAAAAAAAAAAAATCCAAACATTTTACCAACGAAGGAAATTGTTTCTTTAAAATAACTTTTAAAATACTGTAATTTAAAAAAAACTGTTAACCTTTTTGGGTTTGGTGTGAAGGCAATTGGCTCAGCTCAGTCTGGCAGATTTTGACTCTTTTTGACAAAATTTTCAGGGGAAAAAAGGACAATAAAATAAAGTTTTCCAAGCTCAAAGCTTCAGATCCTAAAACCTGTTTATAGATTTCCATTTACTCTGATTTAATTTATGAAATCCACTCACACTGAGGTCCTTTTTAGTTCCAACAAGAAACAGTAAAACACTGGACGGGTCATTTTCCTTCATGGCGTCCTCCAGCCACTGCCTATACACGCACGCACGCACACGCACGCACACGCACGCACACACACACACACACACACACACATACACACACACACACACACACATATATATAAAAGACATGAAAGGGTTTCATGAAAGGAAACAAGGAGCCGTTACATACCTGGCATTTGTTAATGAGTTCACGCTGCTCAAGTCAAACACCACAATGATGGCTAGAAACATACAATGAAAAATTAGCAGGTGTAAACACTGTTTTTTTATTTTAACAGCACCTCATCATGTCTGAGCTATAACCTTGTGCTCCTCTGTAATACGTTGACGCGATGCACTTGAAACGCTCCTGACCTGCAGTGTCCCACCTGGAAGAGATCAGACACAACCGCAGACTGATAAACAACAAACACTGGCTTCAAAGGAACATTTATTCTGCTCATGCACAACCTGCAGTCAGCACAATAAAGGAAACATCAACAAAAACTCACAGTTGTCTATTATATGTCACAAATCCTGTTATTTCTACTCCTATAATCCTCTAAATCATGCAGGAATTTGGAAACTTATTCGGGTATAAACTGAATTTTACTAAAGTGAATATTTCCCTATTAATAGTAAAGCTATGAAATGTCCTAATTTACCTTTTAAGCTGTCGACAGAGTCATTTACATATCTGGGTATAGAAGTTACAAAATCCTATTATAGTTATAATCTTACTCCTCTGGTGGAAGAGTGCAAACATGATATTAAAACTATTCTAATTATTAATGTTTAGTGCACTTTTTAGTAATTATTTTTTTATTTATGTTTTTTTGTTTGTTTTGTAATTGTTTGGTCTATCTTTATTAATGTTAATTTGTGTGGATAGTTTTTTTGTTTGTTTGTTTGTTTGTTTTTCTTTTCTGTGAGTGTTGTCGAAAAAGAAATATTCTTGTTTTGTTTGGCAATTGCAAAAACACAAATAAAGTGTTCAAAAAAACTCACAGCTGTAAACTGAAGGGAACGCCGAGCACCTCAAAACGCTCCATCTCAAAATCCACTCCAATGGTAGCTTTGTAGGTCTTATCAAAGGCATCCTTACAGAACCTGAAAGGAACCAAAGAACAGCGGCAAACACGGGGAGGAAGCATTTCAGAGTAGCGACAAGCTGTAAAATATCAACACTGTTTTTGGTCTTTAAAAAAACTATGTAATCTGAAGATTTAAGAAAAAATACCTGCTAATTAAACAAGTTTTCCCAACTGCAACGTCTCCGACTACAATGACTTTGGCAACGTTGAAGCTGAAAAGGACAACAACAACAAAAATCTAGTTTTTTATAGTCATTTCTTTATCTGTTGTTGAATGACTCAACAGCATCAAGAGTGACAACGCTCACAAAAAGCTGTCAGTAAACATCTAAATATTTAAAGATGTGGTTCACTCATTTAATCAATACGTTTGCAGGAGTTTCTAGTAGGAATTAATGTTCCACTAACTAGAAGTGAGCTGTGGTTCAGACGATTTGGAGTTTTATTGCCTGATATTTGGACATCTCGCCTCTGATTGACTAACAGCAACAGGACTCTACCACTGACTCCATTTACTCTGCACCACTGATGTTTTATCTCCACAAAGAACAAGCCTGAAGGAGTTCTGCTGTGTGGTGGAGTTGCTAATGCTACAGTTAGCTCTACTATCCAAAAGGTTCTCTGCTGTTTCCTGGACGCTAAACCAACACCCCTCCCCGTTGCGAGTCAAGATGGGTGAGTCCATTAATGTTTAAGTGACAGTGTGACGTAGATATGCGAGGATTTTTAAATCCCAGAGTTTCATCATCTGTTTTTCAAGATAGGTGTAGGAGACTATTTTCATGTTCAGCCAGCATGAAAAACTCAGAGTGACAGATTATAATCAGGAATAATCATTTAAAAATGTTTTTCATGAACTACACCTTTAAAAATGTTGTTAAAATCTTAATTCACAAAATGCTCCCTGGTCTGTAAAAGAAAAAGGCAATTTGTTATATTAGCATCTGGACACCTGACCTAATAACAATTTTAAAATATATATATAAAAAATACATGAAAAAACTCAAATCAATAATAAAGGTTTGATTCATACAATTTGTGCATTTTCTCTCAAAATTTACTGTTTCCTTCTGGAAATGCTGCATTTGTGACCCACTTGTGATCAAAATAGTTTTTTTTTTAATTCCAAAGAATTTGTTCATTTTCTTGTAATTCTCATCGGGTTCTTCTTTAATAGACCACCAGAATAACGCGGTCAGACATGGGGGATTTGGAAGATGCATCAGCTGATCGAGAAGCAGAAAGACAGAACTGACTAGTTTAGATCAGACACCCTCATCTCAGTGTGCTGCTCTAAGAAGATAATAAACTCACCTGTCTGTCTTCTGAACCTGGCAAGCTGCCTTCACCTGTGGGTGGAAGCTTTCTTTGGTGTGAAGAGCTGCATTTGGACTAAAACACTGCAAAAGAAAACCAAAAGAGTTCACTGGTCAGCACAAGAAAAGAGAGGCTGGAACATCATGGATTCAGCTTTTCCAGACTCCACATTACCCAAACATCAATAGTTACGTTGTGAGCTGTAATTAAGTTAAAGGTTGAGCATGTGGGTGCCATTTTACAGCTACAGAGATTTCTTTATTCCAGCCCAATAAACCATTTCACAAATATTCAACCATGTTTGGTTAGTTAAAAGCTCTGTGTGTCATCCTTGATGCACAAAACTGCTTCAACTCAGAGGTTTTGACAGGTTTTCACTTCACATGTTTTATTTATTGATCATATAGCTTCTGAGAATAATGATTGCAAAATCTTAACCTGTTTGTTCTGTTTGTTGTTCCCCTAAACAGAATGATTCTCACTCAATGCAAAAACTGCATATTTAGTCTAATAAAAACATTTGAAATCATGGTGCAAAAAGGTCCTGAAAAATGTCCTAAATGTAAAATAGAATCAGTTGCATACAATTTTATTTTCATAAAAATCTATATAACCCACATGGATGCTGAAGCAGATGTTTTAGAATTTTTAAAATGTTTAAGCTTGTGAATTTTACAGCAAGTTGGAATAGAAAATCATTTTTGAAGTGCATGAGTGTGCGTGCATGTATGCATATATATGTGTGTGCGTGTGTGTTTACCAACCTTTGGGAGCTGGGTAATGATTCTATCCTTTTTCACGGGTGGCAACATTCTGCTGCAGCTGCTCAGTCTTACTCAGACATTCACAGTTTGATATTTAAATTGCCATCATCACTAAAACAAACATACTTTTCATTTATCATAACATCCACTCATTCTTGAAAGCCAAGACAGCACAAAAATAATACAATGGTGTGAACAAAATGTGAGTGTTACATGTTTAAAAATGTTGCTTTGCGATGTATTAAACAGAGGTTTAATTGTATTTACGGTACCGTGTACTAGCTCCACAAAAAAGCTGACTATCATTCAGCCATGTTAGACAAAAACTAACACAATTTATTGCCTTTTCAAAATAATTTTCCTATTTTAAAAAGAGAAAAACAACTTTACCTGAAGTAGATGGAAACAAATTGGAAAAAAATCTTGTGATAAAATATCCAGAGTTGTAAATTAAAATTTAAAAGTTTGCTCACAGTGATGAATGTCTGCTTCCAAAGACTAGACTCCTCACAGACAGAATGGTCATTAATGAGGCGCTTGAATCAGTGAAGAACAGTGAGAAATCTGCCAAACAGCGCCATCTGGCGACCGAAGTTAGGAGAAACATATCAATTGAAAATTTTAGAAATGGGAATTAATTAGCATTTAACAGCAGAAATGCTGTTTGAATAATGAGTACTTAAGTTTTAAAGAGTAAAATGCGTTGCTTCATATTTAAAGGGGTCGAGAAAACTATTTAAAAAAGAAACATGAAAGAAAGTATAACAGGAAAGTATTAAAGCGATAACAAATCAAAACTTCATTCTGAAAACCTGAACATCGATTAAATCCAAAGAATATTTATATTTGTGAGCGATTTGCTCAATAAAGCTTTTTTTTAAATTGCATGTGACGTAATAATCTTGCGACATGTTTGTATATAAGGCTTGCCGAGCTGCTCACCAGTCTCTTTGGCTTCCTTTAACCTTTGGATGAAGATCGGGGAAAGTTGAAGTTTTCACTTTTCCAGGTGGGGGGGAGTCCTTACTTAAAAGTGCTGAAAACTTAAAAACACGTTTGTATATTTATCTGTAATTTTGTTTGTAAAGCGGTGCAGTCCGTTAGGTTTTAACGTTGCGTTCAGCTAAAAGGCCTCGTGGTGCAGCCACGTGGTGGAGAGAGGCTAGAAAGACTAGTTTTTTTTGGGAGCTGCCGATATAGTTTATTATTTTGGTTAACCTGCGTGTTCTTGTATATATTTAGGTAAAATACATTTATTAATCATTTGCTCCAAGTATTAAAACCACTACGTTTTTCTTCTCCTTCAGGAGCCATTATCAGTCAAAAATGAATTTCGTGAAAAAGCCTGGCGGGCCATGCTCGTGGCTTACAGGTGAGTGTCTGAAGCGATCGTAAACGTTTAATGCATTTTGTCAGTGATGAAAATCGTGAATAGGAAGTGCCGTCTGATGCGATAACTGACGATGTTTCTACTCACTGGTCTGAGTCTGAAACTACATTTCAGGTGAATCATTTTGTCTTAACCCAGTTAACCTTTTCCTTCTTGTCTTGTCAGACTCCTTCAAACGTGGCAGCTCAAATGGATAAAAGGCCAAGACTGCGGTTAGTTACGCTGGCACAATTATAACAGATAAATTATTTTAATTTTTGTTTAGCTGTTGAACTTGTCGATGCAAGTAAAGTTTCAGTGTTTTTATTTTTTCCCTACAGCTCTGAAGACAAATGTTGTAAAATGTGTTCATCGCCTGCCCTGGTCCCAGTGATGGAATTCTGTGCAGGTAAAACTCTAAATCGGTAAATTAAAACTAGTTTATTTTGTTGTGATGAAACTTAACAAAATAGCTGGAATTACCGGCAGATTGTTTAGTGTTGATCAATGTTTTCTGAACACGGTAACGGTGGTGTTTATGTGACATTGATTTGATTTACTTCTAGTTTATCAGTTTTTTTTTTTTTTTTTTTTTTTTTTTTTTTTTTTTTTAGGTGTGGAGTGGGAGTTCGTATAAGGTCTGAGATGTGAAATCCCCCCTGGGTTGAATGAGGCTTGTAAGTTGACCTGAAATTTAAAATGGATGCTCAACTTAAGGAGTCCACTTGTGCATTTAAAAAATCTACTCCTGAATCAAATAATTTCGGTTAACGTAAAGATAAATCGGAAAATTGTGAATAAATTAAAGACAATTTCACCTCAACTGATGAAAACGTGGAATAGGAAGTGCCGTCAGATGCGATAACTGATGAATATTTCTAATCCGTTATTCTGAGCAGTAAACGAATTGGCAACTTGTGATTTGTAAAATTGCATTTGTCTCATTCTTGTTTGAGGCTAAGCAAAAGGTGAGTTTTCAGATGTTACTCAATAATGGCTGCCAAACATTGTTGTGATGAAACTAAACTGAAAATAGCTGGAATTACCGGCAGATGTTCAGTGGTGACTCTTGGTTTTCTGAACTTTGAATGGCAGCATTTCACATCTTAACTGTTGGAAATGTTTACCTCTTTAACCTGCATTTGCAGACAATTTATTTTGAAAGGACATGTATACTTGATAATAGCAGATCAGGCAAATGTCTAATGCTTACTAAATGTCCTCAATGCAGGCAATGACCCCTGTACAGGGAAGTAAGGTCAAAGCATGATTGAGTGCAAAAGGCATTTACCATCAAGTGTCAAACTTAGTTTCTACTCAAATTTCATTAATGTCATTTCTCCCTCTTAATTTGTTGCCATTTTTTTTTCTCTCCAGATTTGCACCAACAACATACTGGTGGTGAATTACCTTAAGCGTAAGCCGTGTGACTACGCGTTTCATTCTGGGATGTGGCCGTCATGTCGATCGCCTCGAGCGTAAACGGTTCATTGCAGAGAAGCAGATTTTGGGGAGAAGTAAACATGAAAATGACGTGTAATATACAGATATGATAAATACAGTAGTTGGACTGATATATGGTCAAAAATCCACATTAAACAGTTTTAGATTCCTATGAAAGATCCAAGACAAGCACTGATATCAAAAATTGTCATCTCATAGAAGTGCAGAAAAAATTGTTTAGTACATCAGCATGTGTGTTGTGATGAAAGGAAAGTAATGTCTTAACCCTGTGATGCATGAATTATGAAATTGTCAACTTTTTTTCATCTTTAGGTGTGAATGAAACAAATGTCAACATATTTTTTGTAACATTTTGGTAATTTACAAATTACATGTCCACCTCAGCGGACGGTGTGTATTCTGAACATGGAATATGTTGGCTTGACTTGAGTCCAAATGAAGGTGCTAGAATGTAATAAAGTGTTCAACAGCTGTGCTTAAGAGCAAAAATCAATAAAAATTAATACCTGTCCACTTTAGTGACCATTATGCATTCAAGGGTTAAATGCCATCTGTAATTTACCAGAATGGGGGGAAAATAAAGATTACACCCACAGACGAGTACTACAAAAGGTGGAGTTTTGTTGCCAGATTTCTGAATACTTGGTGTTAGTGGTTATGACCCGAAGCAAGGGAACGAGTAGGCTTTTATTTATAATGTGCTGGCTATGTCTGATGTCAACACCTGTTCTGATGACTCCTGAAGTCTGACTTGGCTGGGATTTGGATGTCACAACCAGTTCCATCTGTAAGGATCAATATGTAATGATCTGGATCTTAAGGGCTTCCTTGAGGTGATTAAATTAAAAAAAATAAAGAATTTAAAATAACTTGTTTTTTGGGTGGTTATTATCCTAATGAGTAGAAAAATTGACATAGATAACATTTTCACTTAGTGTACTTTCCGACTGGATTAAATTTGCAGACGATGTAAATCTAGTTAATCAGGAGTGGTAGAAATATGGTTAAATATATGTAGTGTTTGAGGTTGTGATAGGATGAACCATAATCTTTGTGGACTTAATGGGCCATTGGAACAGAACTTTCTGTACCACCCTTTAACGTTACAAGGATGCCAAGCAAGATGTGGACAAGAAATATTTAATGTGCCAAAAAATGTTCTTTCACAACTCCACACTTCAACCTGATTCAGCAACCAGTTGAAGCTAAATATTTACAAGCGAGTCAAGACTTAACCATTCCAGACCGAACTGACCAACCTGTTTACACAACCTGGTTTGAAATGCTTTCTATAAACTCAAAGCACAAATGGACCATGATTTAGTGGATTTCTCATCAACCCTTTGGTCAAAACAGTGAGGTGGGGTGAAGAATATATAACAATATGAAGTTTTCATTAGCTGGAGGAATAATTCATCTCTAGGGTGTTTGAAAGTTGAAAAATTACACGTTTGTCTTTTCTAGACTTAAATCTTCAGTTGGGACAAATAAAAGTGGTCAAATGGAAATGTACAAATAAGAAGAAAGTTTTCAGCTTATCAAATGATCTAAAACCTTTACTTTTATCTTCTGAACAGAAACAGGTGTGCAGCTTGGTAACAGTTTGATTAAACTCAGTCCTCTTTCTCGACGTAGCTCTTCGAGGATGAACGGGCCATCTGTCTAGCCAAATACCGCTCTCGAGCTGAACTCACAGTGTGCTCCGTGCTGCGTTTTGCAAACTTGCTTGTCTTTTCCTCTTCTTCCTCCTGCTCCTTCTGTTCACCATCACTCTTTTGACCTTGTTTTTCAGCATCTTTCTCCTCAGGCATCAAAACATTTTGTTCCTTCTTTTGTTCTTTTTCTTTTTCATGTTTGTCTGCACTTGAATTCCTCCTGTTTTCTATTGTGCCATTCTTCTCTCGCTCTCTTTCTTTGGGGCTCCTCTCCCTCTTTCTGTGCCTGTCCTCCCTCTCAGCCTCCCCCCTGCCTCTGCTTCTGTCATCATCACGACCTCTATCTCTTTCTTTCCTTCTATCCTTGTCACTTCTTCTGTCTCCATATCTGTCATCCCGTTCTCTACCCCTGTGCCTGTCTCTGTGTCTTTCTCTGTCTTTGTCTTTATGGCTCTTCTTTTTCCTGTCTCCGTCCCTTTTTGCTTCCCTCTCCTCACTCCCTGATGAGGGCGATCTTTGTCGGTACTGGCGATTTGAGTGTGCAGATCCTCCAGGCTTAATGAACCCCGTCTTCTCTTCGTGACTTTCCTCGTTCTCACTTCCTGAACTTGGGTCATTCTTTTGAGATGTAGCCGTGGGAACAGACGACGTCCCTGTTTCCTTTAAAGCATCAGAACTTTGACTGCTATAAATAAAAAACAATATGTCAAAAACGAGCATTGAATAAAATACTATTTATTGAGCAACTCATAAAGAGCTCTGACTTGTTTGCTGTGCGATCAGGTATTGCCTCCTCTCCAACAATTTGATTCAGCAGGTGTCGGTGGAAACCACTCAAGTCTTTCTGTTTCCTTACATCCAAAGCAGCTAAGTACCAAAGTTGAAAAATGGTATAAATAAAATACACAGATTGTTTAACATAAATTATTGAAAAAAAAATGCCTCAAACCTTCAATCTCTGCCTGTCGTCTTTCCTTTTCTTCCTCCTCTTTCTGCTCTTCAAGTTTCTTCTTATAGGCAGAGGTCACATAAGCTTCTTTATCAGCATACTGCTCCCCTTCTGCTTCTCTTTCTTTCTGAATTTTTCTTTCATCTCGTCGCTCTTGTTCCTTCTTTCGATCTTCGACTGCTTTCATTAACTGATGGATATATTTTGGCTGTCACAAAAGAGTAAACAAAAAATGTAATAGCGCACCATGCAGCTCATATGTGGCTTTTCCGGCATCGAGACAACAAAAACAAAGGTTTTCAACTACCAGACGTGCATGCATTTCAAACGCTTCAATAGAATTGGAGTTACCCTTCGGTCAGCACTTCCTAGAGTTTTTTTGTTGCTTTCCAGCCTCTGTTTCTGAATGTCATCGTAGACACCATCGTAGTCATACACAGTGCTGTCCTGATCAAGGGCTTTCTGCATCTCCAAACGAGTCTTCAGACAGAAATAGGCAGACACTTGGATTACAACTAAGACAACGTAAATAACACACGAGTGACTTTTTGATAAGAAAATTAAAAAAGGCTAAAACTTTTTAAACACCAAATGAAATGTTATGTGAAATCTGTGTTTATACTACCTGCTTCATCATTTTCTTTTTGATGGCTTCTTTCTGCAAACTCTCCCCAACTGATGTCTAAAATATAAAACGTTGTAACATTTGCTTAGCTACTTATATCAGAAATTTGATCAGCGTTTCTTCTGACAATGTCCTGTTCAAAAACATTAAATACTTTACATACTTCCTCATCGGAGTCATCCCCAAATATTGAGGGTTTGGAAAGGACTGCCTTTGATGTTCCCTTCTTCTGGGATAAGATCAGCCCATACCTGAGGAGAACCAGAAATAAAATATTGATTTCTTGTCTACAATTCAAATGTTTGTATTAAAACCTATAGCAGAAAATTTTACATCATTAAAAAATTAGACTAGAGAAATATCCTAATTTCATAAATTAACAGAAAGCTGAAGTTTGCTTGGATCTCCCTGTCGTAATGTGTCAGTTAAAAACGTGAAAGTAATAAAAAATGCCGTGTGAGAAAATACATGTAAATGTTAAATAATTAAAGAAAGGCCACTTGACTGGAAAAACTAGCCTAGTGGGTTAGCAAAATGCTAGCTACTAGTGAGCTCCGCCGAACAAACTATAGTTTGTAGCACAGTTCGCGTTATTGTCACTTCGGTTTTGTACCATGACTACAAACATAACAACCAGAGGCATTATTGTTTCTTTTAATAAAAGTGAAAAAAGCTTCGCTACCATGTTTGTCACTTACTGTTTTGTAGGGACCGCCATCTTGCTCAGTGAGAACCACAACAGCAGATTCGCCACGAAAATGAAGTCAGGCTGCTCGCTCAAACCATTCGTATCAAATAAAAAATTGCTTGACGACGTTTCGGCCTAATAGTATATTACTAATATTACTAATAGTAAATAAATAACTGCAGAATTTTTTCTGCTAATATTTGGATTAATTTAAGTTAAAGAATAATTTACATGTCTACTTATTTTCCATCAAACTTTGATAACTCGTATTTGTTCATGTTTTACAACATTAATCAACACAATCAATTGTACTTTGCAAAAAAAAAAAACAACAAAAATCACAGAATACTAATTCAACGTATTTTCATTTTGAACCTAATCAGACAGACGACTAGTATTTCATAGTTTAAAACCTTTTAACACCTGTTATATAGAAATAAACAGTGATTATAAACCAATGAGCAACAGTCATGTGCAACTTCTTGATAAGGGTTGTCTAAAGAAACAGACTTTAGTGTATTATTTTAAAGTAATCCTGGTCAACAATTCTTCAGATTTTGTAAAAGATCCTAAATATTTTCTTAATTTTTTTAGGCTTATTTTTCAGAAAATTTCTGTTATTCACATTTTCTTGCATTCCATCTACCATGCTGTGGCAAAAGTAAAAAGAAAGCAGAAAATTTACTTCTTTTCCGTCTCATTGACCAAGAATATTACAAAATCCCTGCTAAAAGATATTAAAAGTGTTCATAAAAAGTGAACTACTATGAAAAGGTTTTTGATTAATCTATTTTGACCAGAGAAATACAAAATGCACTATAACGTCATGAGGTTCCTTCACTTCATTTGCTGGAGTGATTGTATTTTTAGTGTTGCCTGCTCTCTCTCTCTCTCTCTCTCTCTCTCTCTCTCTCTCTCTCTCTCTCTCTCTCTCTCTCTCTCTCTCTCTCTCTCTCTCTCTCTCTCTCTCTCTCTCTCTCTCTCCAAAATCTGTGGCAAACTAAACTGTAACATCAGATCAAAGAGCACATGGCTTCACCTGTGATTAAATCTGTGGTCTCATATTCTTACAGATTCCTCTGAATGACTAATTCCAAAGACCATTATCTCTGTCATAATCTGCATGTCATCTCCTCTCTGGCCTTCTGCTAATCCCTCTTGTATGAACGAAACAACCAAAGCAGGTTTGTACATGAATGAAGAGTGGTGACAAAAATGAACTTTGCTTTGAATTAATAAGAAAGTCGATTGACACACAGCACAAGCGGTAAATGTGTTGATATCTGACAGAGCCCTCTTCCTTCTTGTACAGTACACCATAAACAGAGTTACTGGCATAAACAAGGAAGCAAAAGTGAATGATTTAAATAGCTTTGCAGCAGGTTGGCTCCATACTTCTGATTCATCACTCAGTGTGAGTTTTTTATTTATTTTTTTTGCATTTCATTCAGATTAGCAGGACAGTAAGTGCTGAAAGAAGACCAAAAACCAGTTTGTACACAACCTATAATAATAGTCGTGGCAGAGGAGTTGTGCATATATACATACTTGTGCACACTCTGTTCTGATGACACATTTCAGCATGAGATTCGTGTTATTACTGATCTGTGCATGGCCTCAGGCAGTGAAGATAACACTATAGTGTTACAGGTCCAGACAAGCAGACCACATCTCATGAAATAATCCCTCATGTCCTACTTTTAACCACTTTACTGAGACTTTTTTGCAGCCAAAGAATAGAGCCAGTGAGATAGCAGACTCCAATGACATTAATTTCTTCTTCTTTGAACCACAACAGTTTCATTGCAGCAGCTTTGAATTCACTCCGAAACCTGGCCCATAAAATAAAAGTGCACAAATTATCTGTGGATGTTGTACAAGTAAAGCTTCTTAAATCAAATCCAAACATGCATAATCACAGCTATAAATTATTTTAAATGTCTCAAAAGCTATTTAAATGGGTCTAATAAAATCACATATCTGGCAGAAATACACAAACACACTTAAACTTGTTTTAAAAGAATAATTTAGCCAACTACAAATGATAGAGGAAACTGAGATTTTGCTAATCAAAAACCTTTGCTTTAATGTTTACAACCACTACTATGATAAAATGTAATTACTGTTTTCAGAAACTTTTTTGAATCAAGAGTTACTCTGGATAAAAAGACAAAGTTGTGACAAAACGAGAATCGGTATTAATTATAGAATTACAGTATTGAACAGCTTTGTAACTGCATTTTTTTCTCTCAACTACATTTGAGAGATTCGGTCAAATTTAGTTTTTATGTAAAATAATTCTGACTGTTATTATTCTTTTTGGTCACTTTATAGTGTTTGACAAAGTATAAAATATTACTGGGCACTGAAACAGGACACTCCTGATTCTCAAGCCTGCTCTCACCAGTAATTACTGATCAGATTAATTAATTCCTCAGTAGAATATTCGTATTAATTTATTTCCGTCATAACAAATACATATAAAACACATGAAAAGGAAAATAATTATCTAATAAAGAACATAATAATAATTATGCAGGTACAAATTCCTCTTGTAAATTAAACAGTTTCTTTAGATATAATTTATGAGCGAAAAGGTATAGGCTGAAGTTAAACTTATTTAAGCCTACCCATTAATTCATTACAAAAAAAACATATTAACATACATATTAATCACAGAGGGAAACACGTCTGACTCACATAGTTAATTAGTTTTACAGATGCAGTGATTGTTTGATTACATATTTATTCATCTTTAAACTTAAATCATTAATATTTCATAAAATAAAATAAAAACACGTATTATAATGGATTTTGTTTTCATCCGGCACTCACACGGTTAATCGAGATTGACAAGCAAAAGTCAGTTGCGCATGCGCAAGTGACACCGACAGAGGAAACAGCCGGGGAGTAGTCAAACAGTCCACGACCAGATAGAAAGCAGGAAAAAACCCTCACAGCGGACCAGAAACTCGGGTTCAGCGGAGGTTTTCCCCGCTCAGGACCATTATGCTCGTCTCATCGCCTTCGCTTCCTCACAGGTGTCCGCTTCCCGGTCGCTGAATGGCGCTGGTTACCGTGCAGCGTTCACCGACCCCCAGCACCAGCTCCAGTCCCTGCGTTTCGGTGAGAGCCGCTTTCAATTTCTTAACCCCCCTCCACTATCGCCTCCTCTGTCACTAAACCCAAATCACTTTGCTGTCGAAGGCTACTCCTGGCGTCGTTTCCGCTGTCTTTTAACGGCTACCGAATGTCTCCCAAGTGCTTCGCCTTTGTACTCGTGCGCATGCGCCAAATGTATCCTCATCTTTTTCAATTTACAGCATCGGTGCAAAGCTAACCTGCCTCTTATTATTGCCGCTGTTCCAGAGGATAATGAATTAAAATTAAAACTAGTTTTAAAGACATGTTTTTAAATCGGGTACAAGTAATTTGAGTTATAGTCTGTGGTAATTCCGATGGCATTTTCCAGATTCTTGTAGTAAAAGCTCTTAGTGACATTAACAATCTGGTGTTTAGATAGACATGGCTGTGTGTCTGTCAGCTCCCCAGAGTCCTTCTGACTCTGTATACTTGTTGCCTGTCTCACCCTCTCTTCCTGTCGCTCTCTGTTGTGTGTTGTGAAGGCTGAGGTTTTTGTTGCTCATGCAAAGCAATGGCGCAGGTGGTTGTCCTGTTGCCATCGCTTGTGTTGTCCTTTTATCTGCAGAAGCAGCGACCATACCAGAAAATCTAGACACAAAGTGAGGAAGTAATATACAGTCAAGCTGTTGTACACAACTGTGCACACTTCCTGTTTAGGTGCTGCTGTTTTTCATTGTCTTCACAGGCAGTGAAGTTTACAGATGTGCACATTTACTTGCTTGCCTTGAATAACAAAGCCAGCATGGGACAAACTGATATAATCAAAATCTGAAGTGACTGTCAGGTTTCAACACTTTTCTTGCCAGTTAGTTGCTTTTAGAAGTGATTTTTCTACCTCCTGCTGTGCGTTTGAAGCACAAACTGCTGCCAAGTAACTTTTTGTTAACCCAGAAGTCAGTGAAAGTGAGTTTTAATAATGGCCCTGTACCTCATGCCTTTTGTAATCTGACTAAAACTGGTTCTGTAAGTAGGCATAAAGATAACCGTCTTGCTATGTGCAAGCACATTTAGGGTAATTTGTTTTGTCAGCAACATAAGTCAAAACATGGAAAAGAGTATTTTAGGATCTTGTGCAACCGGTAGCTAGGAGTGCAGCGTTTTGTTCTGAGTTCAGGGTTTCTTAGAGATGTGATTATAGACAAGTCTTCCCTTGGGATTAAAAGAAAGAACGAGCTGTTGAAATAATACAAGAAGATGTTCATATATGTAATTTACCAGGCAGGAGTAGTGAATGATAAGTGTTTCAGAGTGAAAATATGCTTTTAAGTTGGGACTTGCAGACACACATGATGACAAGCTGCACAAAGACGTGTTTAGTGGGTCTTGCATTCATGTGGTGTGTGTGTGTGTGTGTTTTATTTGTACTAGGGCTGAATGATTTTGGAAAATAATCTAATTGTAATGTTTTTCTTCAATATAGCAATTGCGATTTATTTCTCAATTCTTTCCTTAAGGGGCTTTTCTCATATTTTTCAACTAACGCAACCCAAAAAATTTATAAATGTATTACTATAAACAATATCTGATTTATTATACATAAATTATTCTTATATAGCTCTGTCAGTGATCTCTGTCGGCTGAACGTTTGTTGACTGTAAGTTGAAGCACTGGCGACTGGCATTTTAGCCATGCAACTCTCCATTATGGTGTTTTTTTTTTTTTGGTGTTGATAAAGGTTCGTAGTGTTACCTCCTGAGGTAGCAACAGTATCAAGGCAGTTTCTGCACAGTACTTTAAGTTGGGCAGCATCTTCTTTTTCATAGCCAAAATAATTCCACACAACTGATGTCCTAGTCCTCTTTGGTACCAAACATTGTGCAGCGTTGGATTCTGTTGAGCCTGAGACCATTGTACAGGTTACAGCCGGTTACAACGCAGCATTTTCTTCTCTCCCTGAATTGTTTGAGGTGCTTGCAAGTCATGTCAATTTTCCAGATCTTGCACCCAGCCAAATCGCAGCCTTT